TTAAGCTGATGGCAAGGAGAAATGGCATCGAAGGTGTGGTGGGGATGGGGAACTGATACCCACCCATCGGGGGATTATTGTTGGATGATAAATGTGCTTAGGGTCGCGCCGAGTGTCAATTGTGTGTGTGTGGATAAATAAAACACAGATTTAACCATATATTATGGTCAGCGTGTGTTCCTGCAAATACCCGCACATTTACAGCCATCAAAATACGGGGACTGGGAGGCAGTGCTGCAGCGCCGATAAGTTGAAATAATTCATTAAATATTTAATTGTAAATTGAAGTTGTCAAATCAATGCGCAAGCTTTTGATTTGTTGTCTGCGATTTGGTCTGGAATATTGGCGATAAAGTGGATTTTGCAATATGTTTTTTGCTAAATGAAAAGGTTTTTAAAGCAAGTTCGACTCTCTAACTGTAAGAAGGAACTAAAGCTTTAGTTTAAAATAAACCCTACACACTTCTTTCTAATTATCAACGTCTGCGATGTTAGAAACAGGCTTGTGTATCCAGGATTTAAAGCTCCTGTGAGCAATAACTTGAAAGTGAGAACGAAAAGGTTGTTTGGCCTATCAATTGCTGCCAGAGCATGTTCTCGTATGGGGAGACTATCCAATAAGCAGCTCGAGTTGCTTCCATCCGGTTAAGAGAGATTGTCCGTAGGACGATGGATGAAGGGAGGCACTACTGGGCCGTCGCTGTGGCCTTTCTTTTCGGTCAGCTGCAGCACGCAGTTTCCTTTGTTAATGATACTCTTGCTGGACATCAGCAAAAGTCCCGACAGGAGCAGAGCATCATCATCATCATCATCATCATCTGCTGAAAGGATGCCATAGCATGCGGAAAGCAGCCAAGGGCGGGGATTGCAAGGATGGCTCAACCATTTTGTGGATTTATTGACATTCTGTGATGTTATTAAAGTTGATTGCCAGAGACTGTGCACGTTTTTGGCTTAGACGAAGTACCGGCCATCGTCCGGGAAAAAGGATTTCCTCATCTCCCTTCTCATTTTGGACTGCTGTTGCCCCCATCAGGATGCAGCTCAGCTCTGCACACAAACAAAATGCAACCAACATGGGCTCACTGCGGTCAATTCGAAAGAAACAATGGCTGCAACAACCTCCGTTTCGACGGGACAAGGCGAGGCTTGAAATAAGTCAAAGCTTGGGGATTGGAAGATGAAATACCCTTTAAAACTATACCAAAGGTTTTACTATATATATCAGGACTCTTTTGGATATTCAATTATAATTTTAAAAAACTTTTCTGTTAAACAATATCTAAAATGTATTATATGTTCTCCAGTATATGATTTCACCAAGTATAATCCTCGATAGGGTATCAACAGGAAAAAGAAGGCTTTAAGGGAGCCTCGTGCAAGGGGCCGTCACATCAGCATCAAGTCTAATATGCGCATTATTGGTTTTGTCCTGTTTTGTCCCCGGACTCCGGTGTGTGCCGTGCTGCTGCAGTTTTCCTTAATATGCCCTGCATGTTAATACGCTTATCCTGTTCTGTGGAACACACACAATAAAGGACGCCATCGCACCGCACACTCAACATGCAAATATCAAATGCAAATTCTACGGCGCAATATTAAAATTTGGCGAACAGGGAGAACAAAAAAAAAAAAAAGGGACGTATTACTCTCTTACTCGCTGCCTACGCAGGCTTGCCAAAATCCTTTTGATCTTATTTTTTAATTTAGCATTTAATTTGGTTTCTCCTCGTGCCTTCTTCTGCTGCGGGTAACACATGGCGTATACTTGATAAGGATAATATGCGCCTGCCTTTGACTCGCTCAATTTTGGCTGATAAACTTATTAAAAAATATATGTATGTAAGGCAAAAAATGAATACAAATTTGGTTGTTTGTGTGTTGTTTGTTGCATATTAAATATGTATGTTTATTCAAATTGCTTTTCCGTTTTTTAATAAAACTCTGCGGCTTTGATTGTGTTTGAAATTTAATAAAAATTACGAAATAAAAATAATTTAAGTTGATATTAAACTTTGATGCGAACAAAAAGAGTAATTCGTGGCTTTGGCCCACAAGCAAAATATAAATATTTTTCAATATTTCTCGTTATATCTCAGCCAAAGACCCACTAAGACACTTTTCACTTGTAACAAATTTCCACAGATTTCCACTTTTCATATCGCTCGGTTGCCCGCGTACACATACAGACATTTCCGCAGTTTGTCAACATGAAAAGGTTAACAAGGTAAATAAAACACGGCAAAAGGTAGATAGCGAGTACAAAAGGAGAGTAAGTAAAAAATCAAGAAACAAGGCCCACAAACAATGTTGCAAAAGGGCGCAGGCAAATCTTTGTGTCAGTTTCGGTAGAAGGGGAGGGGCAAGGACGTTGTTGAAGTTCCTTTCGGGCTTTGGCAGCGGCAGAAGGATTCCCCACTTTCCTGTTCTGTTCGCTGTGTGTGAATAACAACATTTTAAACATGTTTGCCTTTTGCTTTTTTTTTACCGCGCTCGCGCTAACGTTTATGCAATTTATTTCTGCACGTTCCTGGCGCCCCGCTCCTCCATCGCTCCTGTGTCTCACACAGGCAGCGGCTCCTCTTTCTCTCACTTTTTTTTTTGTTGGTTCAGCTCTGTTACAAAGCATGCCCGCCGGCTGGGCAATGTATAATCTTTTGCTTGTCTTTGGCTTCATGCCGCCCATCGCTGGAGTTGAACTCTTGACTGGCATCCAGGCCCTTTTGGGGAAACACCCCGAAAAAGTGAGAGGTTAAAGGGCATTTCGACTGCGTAAATCGATTGGAATCGAGCTGAATGAGCCTTATAAAAAGCAGCTTAATAAAAAATCAGAACATGGGAAATATTTTGTAAATACTGTGACTGAATTTGGTAAAATTAAATCCTTTAAAATATATAATCTTTAAAAACTGAAACTGATATAACGATACAATACTCAAGGAAGCAGATAATTTAATCATTACTTACTAAGGTATCCGGCTCGAAGGACCAAAATGGTCGATGCTTTATACTGCAAGTACAATAAAATTATGTCTTTATAAAGATTGATATATCTTTATAATGCACCGAGCTAAGATAACCTAACATCTATTCATTTTGAACTCCTAAAAAATCGTAGTAAAATCTTATTCAAAGAGTATCCCCAAAAGGATACTTTTTCTTGAAATTTGTCTTCTTTACACCAACAATATATACATAGTATCTTTCGTTGTATACTCCTGGTCGCTTAAAAAGGTGAAAAGGCGAGCTGAAAAGTCTCAGAGCTTGAGGCAGTCAGCGGTCTTGGATGCTTCCAACTCAACGAAAGGTCCATACAAACCCAAGCCAACTTGGACCAGAACTTTAAATAGTTCTGGCAGCGAGTGAAAGGAATCTTGGCGAGCGTGCAGGCAAAGTTTAAAGTTCGAAACAATGACGTTTAGTTTAGTGCTAAGCCTGAGATAGTTCCTCTCAGTCATCGAGCTGGCATTTCCTGCTTGGTTATGCAGCTCAAGTCACCGCGCTTGACACATTTCTCCAGGGAGGACGTTCGCACGTCCTTGTCCTCCTGCCTCTCGTTCGGCTGTTGTTGTTGCCAGGGGTCCTGTCCAGCTGTCAGAGCAACTTGTCAACGCAGTCATCAATGTCGGCGTGACAGCATCACGGCACCGGCAACGCCTGTAACTATGCCAAGCTTTTGCAATGTTCGCACATTTGGTCCGCGCGCAGTCCCTCTTCCGGTTAACCCAATGCGGATCAGGGTTGGAAAATCGAACAGGGAGTTTGGAAAGTAATATGAAAGGAATTTATATAACGAATTTGCTGGTACCTGATATGGGTTATATATATGTTTATGTTGAAATTATAAAATTAAAATTAATTTATTTAAATTTCTTATTTGCTTGTAAAAGTTTTAAATTAATTTTCTATTTGTATTTTGTATTTTAATATTATAAACTCTGTTAAATTAAAAATAAATTATCACATCCGCATATTTTTGCTCTTTAAAGTGCGACATTTAATGGGTTAAGATATGCTGCAAGTCGAACTGTGGGTTCTTTGCCACTGACCACCAGGGGCGAGAAAGTGCGAAAGTTGCAGCGACTCCTAACCAATATTAATGAGCAAATTCAGCAAGACGTGCACCACATTTAATAGAAAATGGAAAATAATATGCGTCCAGGCGATGAGATCATAAAAAGTAATGAAAGGAAAATTAAGCTTTAACCCCGAGTGTTAATTTTATATGGAAACGAAAGAATACTTAAAGACCATGATGTTAAATTCAAGAGCTTTAAGTCTTCTATTAATGTTTATTTTAATTTTCTCTGCAAAATAAAACTGTAATTTATTTGTGTAAAAAACTACATTAAATTGCTTCAACTTTTGACCAGTTTTTCAACTCTTCGCTTGCATATGTGTGATTTTATGTGATTATTATCATTTGCTGTGACACAAAAACCGAAATATAAAAAAAAAAATTCACAAACTTTGCCAACTGGGTAGCACGTGCTGCCCTATCCGACCCTCATCCTGCCTAACCCACACCCCTTTTGCCCAGCGACAAATAAAGTTGTGAATCACCACGAGAAGTTAAAGAAAAAAAAACGTCACGTGCAAAAACTTTCTTAATTTAAAAGAAATTTTCAAACAAACTCAATTAAATAATTTCAGGCGCAAATAAAGATGAAAATGTGTGCGGCAGGAGTTTTCGGGGGGAATGATGTTTTCATAGAATTTTATATGCTACACGGAGTCATGCAACTGCTGTCTGCAAGACAATTTTAATGCCACAAAATTTTAATTGAGCTAATCCCAAAAACCACATGCTCGTCCTGGGCTAACGAGCCAGATGTCAGTTGGCTGGCTTGTCTGTCTAATTTCCGAAAAGGGGTTTTTTCTGCAGCACACATGTTGCACACAACCGGCGAAGTGAAGTCAAGAGGCATTAGACTGAACGTAATTATAATTGCCTTCTCAGAAAGATGAGCCCAGTTAGTTGGCTATGAAAAAAACGACAAGTACTAATCCTGACTTGGCATTCTCACACTGAATATCCAACAAGCAGATCACTTATTGAGCAACAGTAACCAAAAATATAAAATATACATAAAAAATGAACTCTGACGAGGGCTTCCTGACACAGCGATCTGTAGTCATGGATGTAATGAAACAGCTGGATGACATGCTGAATGTCAATAAAATGGAGTAGGCTTTTTTTTAAGGGTCCTTTCAGATATTTAAGGCTAAAGGAACCTTTTTCCTTTCTCTAGCACCAAGGGCAAAGAGGAAAAGAAACCCGAGGTGGACCCATCAATAGGCGTTACAGAAACCAGTTTTGTGGTTTCTGCCAGGGACATACGCAAGAAATCCTCGCGGCCCTTCAAGAAGATGACCAAGACCTCCAACATGAACCAGATAACCTTTATGCGCCAGATTGACGTCACTCAGCAGGACCGCGAAGAGGCTCGAGCTGATCGTGAGCGTGTAGCAGAAAGTTTTCGCAGGTCTTGAAGGATTTTTTAACGTTTTTTCTTATATTCCTTTACGTTTTCTTATTTAATTTTAGATTTGGCAATGAGGAATTTCGCCGTACCAACTATGAAAAGGCTATATATTATTATTCAAAGGGTATTCAGTATGTGGTCGACTCGCCAGTACTTTATTGTAACCGAGCCTTGGCCAAAATCAAGTAAGGATATTGTGATAAACTTAATTATTTTCAAACTAAGCCTGAACCTTAAAAGGAAGAGGGACTTCAAGTTGGCAATTATGGACCTAGACTATGTGCTCTTAACACTAGACCCGCATCACTTGAAGGCCTGGCTGTATAAAGCCGGAGCTCTGGCCCGCCTCAATAACGAAGTCGAGTCCCAGTATGCAATATCAATTGCCTCCCAATTTAACAGAACCCCAAAGGATCAAAAATATATAGCAAATTTCTTGGAGAAATTACGAAGCGAATTCTAAATGGAATTTCATGCACTTTATTCACCTTCATCAATGTTTTTTTAGGCGCATAAATATTGAAAATCACAATCACATGTTGTACATTTTATGGGGGAGACAATGAAGCGCATTCATAAACAAAGGGAAACTAGATTCGGATTTCAGATTTCAATCAAATAACGAATTCACTTCCTGCATTTAATTTGATGTTTTTGTCATAAGAACTGCATCCACTTTTCATAAACACAAAATTTGGACACGCACACACGCACAAAAACAACATGCTGGAAACTGCAAAAATATGGAAAATTGTTTTCCTTTTTCCATCTCCATCCACTACACACAACCACAAGCACAACTCGCTCTTTGTTAGTGGCAAATGAAATTTGCAATTTTTTGCATAAATTCAATAAAAATTCCTATTGTCATGAGAATATTTGCCAATACAATATACAGCCCAGGAGGGTGTCCTGCCCCAGCATCCAGCTGGGATAAGGGCCACTTATACGCTTCGTTGGGGGTTACACCAACCCCTCGGAATCCTCTCTTCCCCCCGGCGACCGCAAAAGACTGACGTTGCGGCTACAAATGCGGGCAATGGAAATTGAGGGGGCAAAATGCGAATTCGAGGGTAGCAGTGGTAGTAGTTGTAGTAGAGTTTTGCCGAGCTTTCAATATGGCGCCAACACCATTTGCATTTGCCAGCTTCACTGCACTCTGCCCGGCTCCTTTCTCCTCCGGAGCTCCTACCAAGTCCAGAAGCAGTTCCCGTTGCACGGCTCGTCGCCGTAATGAAATGCAGTTCAAATGCTTGGGGTATAAACTTTTGTCACAACAGGCAGGCAGGCAGCCAGCCAGCAGCAGCAGGAGCACAAGGACATCGCCAAGGGACGAGCTGGTGGGAGGCATTGGGCGGGCGGGTTGTAAACTAGCAAACAAAACGCAACGGAAGTGCCACAAAAAGGGTTTCACTGTTTGTCAATTGTGTGCGGCCGCAGAGTTGACACCTAAACCAATTCCCGCAAAACCAGCCAGAGGAGCCCCGCATCCTCCCTGGCCAGACTTGGTCAATCCCCCTGACACTACTGACACGCTAACTGAGTGCCATAGAGCTGCAGAACTGTGGGAGTGCACTGGGGAAAACTTAAGGGTACTCTTTTTGAATAAACAGAACCAAAAATTAAAGAAACATCAATTTTAAAATGGAAAAATCAATCAAAACTTGTTAGGGAACTACAACTTATTTTTTAAACTTTATTTTAAGGTATTTTCTATTAATCCCAGTGTAGACTGCCCTGAGGCCAATCTTAAGAAATGCAAAAATGGCTCTGGCTTGCTGCGGTTCTAATCAACATCAAACGCTGCACTTCCTGCTGGTGATGTTAGTGGCACGGCCTCAGCCACCGCCCATTCCTTGTAATCAATGCTGTAAACACTTATTTTTGTGGTTGTCACCGAGCTCTGCGACTACAATTTGTGCCCGAAACAGGAATCTCGGATGGGAGGCGCACCCGGAGTTGGCTGATGGGAAAGTTTCTTGTCCTCGCATCTACGAACATTGTCTGGTTACGGCTTTTTGCAATAGAGAACTGCTGGAATTCGGTTCTGTCGGTTGTGTGCCAGTTTTTGTGGTCACCAGCGGGTCGACCAGGATTGTAAGGTGACTTTAATGTCTGCTTTATATGGCCAGCAGCAAATGATTATTGCAGGTGAAGTTTTTAGCTCAGGTTAAGCTGCAAGGAAAAACTTTTCTTATCGAATCGGATGAAAAAACTTTCGATTCTTAAAGTGATTAAAAGTGGTTTACGTGTGGCTTAAACTTTTGAGGTTTTTGTAAACCTTAAACTAATTTTAAGTAAACCTCACAACTGCTGCAGAAACCGACTTGGAAGTGAAGTCATTTAACAGATTTTACTGCCCATATGTAGGAAATAAATTTAAAAATTCTGATAAATATATTTTTAAAGTCATTTTGATGCCAGAAAGGTTAGAACCCCATTTTTATGCTCAGCTAATACTCCTTGTCTACGCTTTAACTTTAGGTAAACTTTTCTGTCTCGTGTGTGCCAGTCACTCTGATTCCCCCATGGCATATAGTCAACTTCAACGAGGATCTTTATGAATCACACACACTAGAGCCATCGGCGTCAGACTTTTCCGCTTTTCCGATCCCCAGGGTCGGCTTTTCAGCTGGCAAAGAAGTTTTCCCCAAAGGATCGCCGCCCATAAACTCAGGAGGAGGCGTTCGTGAAAAAGTACAAGCAGGCGACCCTTGGTTTTTGGGGCTTCTTGTTTGTCCGATGGCTTTCAAGTTGCGGTCCGTGGCGGCAGCAGCTTCTTGGCCAGAAAGTAATTTGGCCTTTATCTGTATTGCGGTTTGAACAGGGGGCCAAACAAGCAACATCTTTCGCTCGGTTTTGTTGTAATATTCTGTTGGTTTAGCATTTTTGTTTTCCTTGTTTGCACCACATCCGGGACTCATTTTGGTTGTCTTCGGTTTGAGGCTAAAATTGCAGTCCTTCGCTCTCCTCTCATCGCCTTGCCTTTGGGTGGGGAAAAACTTTTCATTTGAGGGTTTGGGGGGCCTCCAACTGCTGCTCCTGCTGCTGTTGCCTTTGCTGTCTGTGCTGACATTTGCCCGAATTGAACTTTTCGTTGCGTTGGGCCAAGTTTTTCATTAAGCGGAAAATATTCCGTGCTTTTTGTTTATTTTTGCATTCATCTGACATTGACTGTCATTTGCCATTTCCGGCTGGCAGTTCATTTAAAGTTTACGCAGCTCTCTTTTAATTAGCATCGAGATTTATCTAGTTGCCCAGTCCTCCCCTCTTGGTTATAGAATCCCAATCGATTGACACTTTTGGCTGCTGCTTTATTGAGGGTTTATTTGCTTTGCTGATTTCTATTTTCCCAACGACTGGCCAAAGGAATTTCGAATGCAAACAGCATCGAACCCATCGAAAGGACAAACGGAACATGTCTTGAGTCTCTAGAAAAAAGCAGATAAAAAATCGAAACAAGTGGATTGGGAAGCTTTTGGGAATTCCATTGAAGGATGTGTTTGTTTGTGGATGGAGATGAGTTGGCAGTAGACAAAGAACTTTAGCTACTCTTATCTCTTTTGAGTGAATTAGCAATTGGTAACCTGCAGAGTAGAACAGTGAGAGAAACCGGACATAATAGTTACTTAAAGAATATCTGGTTATGGTAAGATTTTATTATTATTATATTATTGTTTAAAGGCAAATCCCACAAATATCCAGCCTTATTTTTTGCACTCTTCCTTCTCCAAAGTTATTATTTAATTATGCTTGGGGAATGGGGAAACTTCTGCAGCTACTTCTTTCCTATCGAGTTTCCTCAGGGTGAAGTACACTCCATAGTGCACTCATTTCCCACTCTTCCCTTGCTCTCCCTTGGCACTGCCAAACTACCGAAGGAAATATATTCACGTTGCTTTTTCATTATTCATGACAACTGGCTGTTGGTCCCCTCGAATGCGAGTATGTGCGACTATAGCCCGAGGTTGCTGTAACTGAGTCTGAGCAAATAACAGATACAGATACGGAAACTGGGGAGCTGCGGCAACGGGGGGTAGCCATAACAAATAACAAAGATGACAATAAAAAGCAGCAAAACAATTTCCCCATAGCCGAGAGAACCAAAAAAAAAAAAAAAAAAAAAAAAAACGCTGGGGAAAAGAAAAGGCAACTAATATTTTAAGAAAACACAACGTACGCCGGCAAGGGGAGAAACTTAATCGCATGTGTGAAGGGGGGTGTAATGGGCGGGTGGAAAACAGGCAACAGTTTTCCAGCTTCTTTTCTTTCCTTCTTTTTTTGCTACGCAAGTGGCCGTCATCAAATTCAAGTGACATATTTAGACAGCTAAGCGACTCCCAAGGTGAAGCTGCAGCAGCAGCAGCAGCCGGAAAAGCCGTTGGCAATTTCCAGTGTCTAGACCAAGGGTGGCTGATACAACCCCAAAATGAGAAAGGATGTCTTGGGATAGAGTAACGACTGTGAAATACCCCAGGTTGGTGTCTAGAGGATAATTTGGCTTTAATAAAATCTTAAAAATATATTATCACCATTCTTTTTAACCATAATATTATTATTTATAATTAAAAACTTGCTCTATTATTATACAAACTTTCTTTAGGGTTTTTAGTTCCTAAAATCTTTCAAAACCTCTTATGTTTTCAAATACTTTTCCCTAAATATAATATACTCTTAAAAGATTACAGAGTATTTAAAGAATAGTCATAAGGGGGAATAACCGAAAGGGAGACAAGCAATGTGAGGGGAATCCTTGGCCCAGGGCAAGTTGCTTTTAATAATAAAATCATTGAGCATCAAAGCATAAAACTCAGTCAAGTGCAACATAAGCTTAAAGACCAAATCGTGATGGGGCGAAAGCGAAAAGGGGAGTGCCCTTACCTTGGCGGTTACCTCGGCGCAACCCCGACATGTGGGCATGTGCTCGCCCAATTCGATTTTCCACTATCTGTATATACTCATATATATACGGATTCCGTCTTTATTCGTTGCTCTTGAATGTGATTTAATGTTATTTTTACAGCCAAATTAGTTGGCTTTTGATGTTCGCTTAACTTTGGCTGCTTTAAGCCGAACCACAAAGAAAATAATGGTGGCAGAGGTGGCCTATAAAGAAGGCCGAATAAAGGAGCATGAATTTATGGCAGATGGCGGCGGGTGGCTGCAGTCATAAAGCCTTTCAAGCCTCTGAGTATCTTTGAGATACACATGTGTACATACTTAACGTTCAAACAGCCGAGTGAGTAACTGTAAGTGTTAGTGCAACTGTTACTGGTATTAACTTTTATCTTAGGCCACATTTTGATTGCCCCACTTTTGTTTTGAATGATTTTAATGACTCCAACTTGAAACTGAGCCTTCGAGTCAAGTGCAATCGCTTCAAGCTGTTGCAATTCGTATCTGAAAGGTCTTGACTCATAATGTGGCAGCTGTTCAGCCCAACTCAAGTGCTTTCAGCTTGTTCACATTTGGCAAACATTTTGATTGCCACTCTGATTGATGAATGCGTGTGTGTTTTTGTATGTGTATTTGGTTTTAGTTTGGTGTTGAGCTTTGCCTGGAAGCTAATAAAAAAATAAAATATAAAAGTAACGCCTTTTAATTAAGTTATTTTAGATGATGTAAATTTATTAAAATACTTTTTTGCATCCTAAATTAATACATACAAAGCCAAGACAATTGAAGAAAACTCTCAACTACGTTTAAAGAACCAATAATTTGTGTAACTTGAGTTGAAATCAATCAAATAGGTAAACTCCTTGGTTGCCTGCGAAAGAAATCGACATGTAATTGAAATTAAATGTCTGATTGGATCCTGTGGCAAGGCACTTAAGCGAACAAACCCTTCTAGCCATGCTTTTCCTTTTAACAAATGAAGAATCAGTGAAACCAATGCCAGACGGACAATTACCCCTGAGCTATTTCCCCTAATCCCCCGTCTCATTGACATCGTTCTCGATTGTTAATTATTTTCATTGTACTTGTTATGAAAGTTTTTGTTTGCCCTGCCTCGTTGTGCCCACGGAATTTGCGCTGTGAGTCTCTGTGTTGTCCTTAAGGATTTGGGGCATTTAATTAGGCGCAATCAAGTTGACATTTTAAACAATTTAAGCGAGCAAACACGAGGCTGTTTACTTCGCATTTCCCCGCTGGCCCGCTACCCCGCTTCAGCTTTGACTACTTTAGCGCATATTAAAACGCTTTATGGCCAAAGGCCAATTGCCAGCGAGTTGAGTGAGTCGCAGTCGAGTCCTTTGCCGTTGGCAGTGCTCCTTTTTGGGCCGAAAATCGATAAGCGGGAGACTTGGGGGGGCCCCCTGCCCTCCGCTGCTATTAATTATGTCTTTTGCCGTTTTGTCGCATTGACGTAGGCGGAGCAATTAAGTTGCTGCTGGTGGTAAAGCGGGGGAGGAGAGATGGCCAAAAAGGGCAGGAGTGTTGGCAGGAGGCTGAGGAAATGAAATTCGGCCTGTACTTTGGTCAGTCACATAATACGTATCAATGGGCAATTCCCGCCTGACACCCTCTTCCTTCTGCCAGTTCTCATATCCTATCCTAACTGCCCCAACTCCTGTTGTTACGTGACCAGCAAAATAATTCATATGAAAATTTAATTTGTATTTTTTGCTGGGTGTCTGTTTCCTCTTTGGATGTGAATGCTTTGGAATTGGCATCTAAAAAAAAATATGTACACAAAATATTGATTACACTGGCATTCAAGAAAAAGATGCTTGCATAGCAAGGCAGTTATTATATATCCCATTTATATTGATTAGGAAAATCGATAAGTTATTATGATTATTTTTGGATTTTAAAGATTTTACTAAACACAAAGTATATACTTGTAATTGGTGGCAAGTCAGGCCTGAAATGCACAATAATCACGCTTTTTTTATTTTAAAAAGTGCATACTTTCAGTCTGTCCTAAAAATATAATCTTTGCTTTATATTAATAAGGATCACATAGCTTTGGATACCGGGTATCTTGCAGTCGATCACACTTTCCTACTTGTTCTGTTATGTATGCATTTCTAAATGCAATTTCTGAACTTACAAAAACTTTGATATTTCTTCATTTGTAAACAATTGTTTTGTTTATTAAAGCAAACATAAACGTCCATACAAAGAATACATTTTTTCTTTAACGTTTCTGCTCTTTAATTGGACAAAGATAATTATTTTTATTTAACAAAACCTGACTGGCTAAAGTAGGCACAAAGCAAATGATTTTCGTGCTGCCAACCGCATGTGAAAATAAATATTATTAGACTGCTCTACCATTATCCCTCTCCACCACCAAATTTGTATCTGGTTTGCCATTTTGCATTGAAAAATATGGGAGAAAAAAAAAATAGAAATTATTGCACATTTAGCAATAAACAGGCAGAAAAACAGGGAAGCAGAACAAATGTGGTTTAGCTTGTTTTGGCTTTGTATTTGTTTGTCATGGGGAGTAGTGATGATATCGGCCTGGTTGTGTCAACAGTATTCCTTTGACTACCATGGCCGCGAGTGGATGATACTGAACATGTTTGCGTTTTTGACAATTTGTGCATATATTTTTTTTTGTGGGTGAAAATTTGATTGCATGAACCGCAATTTGAATGATATTCGGCTTTTGCGGTTATTGCACATGAACGAACGAACGTGGTCGGGATATTAACGTTCTTGCGGTCATTGGTTTGGGCCATTAAGTGATTTAACCATCGGTTGGTTGATTACCGTATTAATTATAACTCCCCTGGAATTCTTATGCCGAAGGCCGAAATTCTCATTAGCCCAAGAATGCAGAAAATCGGAAGCCAAGCTGAAAAGCTTGGCAAATAAAGTCCATTGAAATAATTAACAGTCCGAGCCGTTTGCCGGGAAATTTGCATTGGCCTGGATTTGTATTTGCACCTGCTCCCGGACTCGGCCACCTTGCAAATCTGCATTCGGCCAACCGCACTCGCCAGCCGCTCTGGCCCTGAGCCCTCGGACAAGTTCCGGACAGCGTTTTAAATTTCATTAAATCTGCTCACTTCGTTTGCCAATGCAATCAACAACAGCTAAGACTCTGGAGGGGGAAGCACCGCATTTCATTTACACCGCCTCGAGTGCTTGAAATCTACTTAAGGGCCTGACTTGCTCTGCTTCTAGTTGCTCTGTCTAACTAGCTTTCTTCCATCTCTCTCTCCTTCGTTCCCGTTCTCTTTCTCTTAACCTTCTGTAATTAACTCGCCTCAACTCTGGATCTTATTGCATTTGTTTTAATGCTCTACAAGTGATAATTAATACAGAAACTACGTCAAGGGAGAATTTTAACATTTAGTTCATTAGAGCCTTTCAAATTAGAGCCTACGAAATTACAGACATTTAATTAGATAAATAAATTTGTTATAAACTGAAACGTGAAATTGCGTCACTGTACAATATTTCACCACACAATTAATTTTTAAGAAATATTTATAAAACATTTTAATATAATTATTTTATTCAATGTATTCATTTTATTCGCTTTAATTTGTACTTAACTTATTTCACTCTGGTTGAGGTTGTGCTTTCAAATATTTAAAATTTTCTCAATAAAAGAGTATCCCATTTTCGACCTGAACTAACTTAATTTTGCCTGGGCTTGTTTTTACTGCGTTTGATCCACTTTACGCTTGGATTTTAGTTTAATTTCTTGCAGTTTCTTTTTAGCTGTGTTTTCGTCCTTTTTCTATAGCGCACCTTGTTCTTTTTTCCTTCTTTTTGGTTAGAGAAGTTAGCTGTGCGCTTTCGCTTTTCCTCTAATTTCTTTTGCGCTATTTTTCAAAACGTTGTTTTTTTCTTATGCTCCAGCTGCTGCTGCTGCTGCCGCTTCTCCTCCTTGGCGCCCCGTTCTAAGTGAAAAAGTAAACAGAAATCCATTAGCTTGGCAATCATTGACGGCGTCGCCAGAGGCACCGCATCCTGCTGTCTCCCGCGCCCTCGCCCTTGCTCCGAGAGGTCAGTTGGGCTTGGGGATTGGGTGCGCGGGTGCAGGGTGATTTTATAAATTGCTGCCATCAAGGCATTTGTTCCACTTTTCCTTCACTTCCACTTCCACTTCCATTTCCATCCATCGACGACAATTTCTCGAACTAAACTTAAATAAATAACACAAACAGCTAACTAGGGGGCGAGGCTGTCCCTAATCGATGTCGATTTTATAGCCCAGATCGATGGAGGCCCTTATGTGCTCCTTCAGGTTGATGTAGCCATTGCGCAGCGACTCCTGGGTGAGGAACTCCTTCACCTTGCCCTCGCTCTCGCAAAACACCAGGTTGTCTGTGTGGTCGATCAACCGCTGCAGGTGCTCCGGGAATCTGAACAGGATTAGCAGGGTCGAGCTGGAGGCGTCTGCCTGGCGGCACAGATCGCTGGACAGCTTGGAAATGCCCTGGGCAGCGGTGTAGTCCATCCCGCTGATGCGCTGTCCATCGATCACCACCGTGATCTTGAAGTCCGCCTGCGTGCAGGCCTTGAGGACTCGCTCCCTCAGGTAGTTGATGGCTGGGAAGTAGATTCCGTTGCCTGGCGTCACCCGGATATACTGCATCTCCTCCAGCTGCTCGATCTTAACCCGGATCTCGGGTCGGGCCCACAGGAACAGCAGGTGTAGGGCGGTCACCACGATGCTCACAAACAGGCCCACCTCCACGCCGAACAGCACGGACACGCAGAAGCACAGCAACCAGGTGGCAAAATCGCGCTTCGAGTCGCGCCACAGCCGCAGTGGCAGCTTGAAGTCCAGCAGCGTGAATATGGAGCATATCAGGATGGCTGCCAGCGTGGCCTCCGGGATGTAGTTGAAGTACGGACTCAGGTAGCTCAGGGCCAGCAGCACGATGATGCCTGCAAGGAAAGAAAATTAAATATTTAATTTCGAGGATTCAGGATTAAATGTATGTCAATGAAACCCTTTTTTAATTATGAATTTCTTTTTTAAGGCTTATTGAGTTTTTCCATTGAAACTCACCCAAATACAGATTGGCCATGGGCGTCTTGAGGCCACAGGCAGTGCTGATGGCATACCGAGTAAAGGCTCCCGAGGATGGCATTGCCTGGACACAGGAGCCGAACATGTTGCAGAGCCCCACGGTAAGCAGTTCCTGATTTGTGTCCACCAAACCCTTGGGGGCTAAAAAATGATAGAGAGTTATTAAAGTTGGTGTTTTAATTTCTGTTTCACCACCATACTCACTCAGTTTTCCAATGGATATATTCGTGAGTATTCCAACTATGGGAATTACAATAATGCCCATATTCAGTTCCTTCAATACCTCCCAGAAACTATAGCTCCGCTCCGAAGTAACAATATCCAGGCTGGGCACTGTGAAATTCGGCAGAGTGGCCAAGGCATTTTTGCTGAGGGCATAAGGAACCTGACCACTGTTGTGTATCCAAATATAGGAGACAATGCCGGCAATAAGCACTATCAGGGTGTTTCTGGAGGTGGACAAGTAGCGACAGCAGATTCTCAGAACTTTGTTTCTGTTTTCATTGTGAGCCACGCGTTCCAACAACTACAAAAGATGTGAGATTAAATAATAATAATTTGAGGGATTAATTGAAAGCTTACCTCCAGTAACAGCAGGAAAACAATGGCACAAACGCCAACCGTAAGATCCGCCATATTTGATTCATCAATTCGAGAACTCAGCATTCCAACGGAGTTCATGAGACCAGCCACTAAGTACTTGATGCCCAAGAGTACTTTTAACTGAGATTCAATTACCAAAATGGCTGTGGCCGAGGAGAAGGCCTTGATTACTGGCATGGATATAAACTCAAAGATGAAACCTGGAAGAAAATGTATTAGTTTTAAATATGAGCTGTTCAAAAGCGATTCATAATAATAATAATAGCTTCAAACTCCATCCATACGTCCATTTACTTATCAATTACTGCCCCAAGGTAAACATAAACATAGGTGCCAATATTCCAGTCACTTCAATGACACCTGCCTTTGCACTCCCAAACCTCCCCCACAATCAATGTTATCTGAGATCTAGTCCAGTTCCGCATACAAAACCACAACACCGAATCTCCTCCGAAGAAGTGCTAATTGAGGCAAATGGTGCTAATCGCGGTCAAACCGCATAACAGTTATCACGCAGCACACTCAATTAGGTGCTTAAAGCGAGCTCTAAAGCGGATCTATTTCAATCCAATTGGCACCGCCCGAGTCCAAGTTCATGGGGGAAGTAACACATGTCGCACTTGAGTCAATTTAGCAATGAGATCACACGAAGCCCAGCTGATATGTGAAAGCTGGACACTAAGAGAATTTGCCGCAAATCTTCTTTGTGGAAATTTCTATTTATATTCAATATTATAACACTTTGTGGTTAATGTTGAAGACTGTTGTATCATATAATTTATCTTATTACTTCCTAGTAATTCTTTTTATGAAGCAATCGAGTTCTTCAGAAAAAAAACAGCTAGTTCTCCTGATAAAACTGTTAATGGAATATAAATATTGATTATCTTGAATTTATATAATTTATATTGTAATGATTAATAATTATTCCATGCCACTTCTACTTATCTTTTCCTGATGTAAGTAAATTACACCGAAGCCGATCTTAGTCACGCTTATTTCCTGCAGTGTATCTTGACTTACCCATTCGCAGCGTTCCCATGATGATCTGCACAATTCCACTGAGAAAGGTGAGCAGGAAGGCGAATTCTATGGGTCGCCCCACCGTGAATTGTACACTGACTAGGGCCACCAGGCTGGTGGGACCGATGATGACCTTGTCGATGGACCCGAACACCAGGTAAATCAGGGGTCCAATGAATGCCGAACAGAGACCATAGCGAGCCGGCAGACCGGCCAGCAGGGCGCAGGCCATGCTCTCCGGAATGATGGTGAGGCCAAGGGTGATGCCGGCGATGAAGTCATCGATTCCCCATTCGGTGGAGTACAGTGGCAGCCATTGGAAGACCGGGACATGGCGGTGCAGGCGGCGTTTCCACTTGCTGGCGGTCGGAGCCTTGCCAGCTTCACTCGCCGGCTTGCTGATGGCCCCCGGCAGAAGGGCCCGCGCCGTGGCTTTCTCCAGGGCCTCAGCCTCCGTCTCCAGTTGCGGGTACATGGATAAGGAGTTGGTGTTAGGTTGAAGGGTCTGGTTAGATGATTTAGTTAATCGCACGTCTGTGCGCCACAAATCGCAACTGTCGAATGATAGCACCGGCTGAGCTCATCCCACTGATAACGATCCGGAGATCGCAGATCGCGGACTGTAGATTGCTCGTCTCTTGTTTGCCTTACACATCAGAGCCTCAATTGACATTGTGACTGGTGGCTGCCGCCCGGGATCTCGCGCCTCGCTCGACTTACTCGCTCTCCGGCCGCTGGGTGTGTGTTTTGGGCTGTAATAAAACATATCTAGTTCAAACCCCCTTGTTTGATTGTTCAATTCCCTGCTCGTATCACATTTGACGCCACCTCAATTATCTCGGACCTGTTAATTGGATAATATCTTGATTAGACGCTGGAAAAATGTGCCAAAAAGTCTGTTCATCTGAGGTGTAACAATTGACGATATCGCCAGGTTTGTTAGCACTTGAATTATTTATTAGCCAAGTGGCTCAAAGGAACACTCATACGTATAACAAAAGATTCTTTAAAGAACAAAGAAGGAGGGAAATCTGTGAATGAATAACAATTACTCATAATAGAGTTTGTAATTATTTTTCTTTTTCCTTAGCCTAGACTTTATAGCAAATATTTTTATTTTTTACAATCTAATGGGAATAAGCTAATATTTAATCTCACAAAAAAAGTGCTAAATGGGCTAACAATTGACGATATCGCCAAGATTTTAACACGTGTATTTGGTATTGATCCGTGTATTTGGTATTGATCCAACCGGTTAAATGAAATCATTAAATAAAGTTTATAATAAAGGGTAAAAATGTTAGTATATACATTTTACTTACTTGCGGTTTATTATATCTTAAATTAATAATTTCTTAATTTTTAATTCATTATCTTCTGTTATTTAAATTAAATTGTACACCAAAAATAAATAATAATATACATATATAAATTACATTCTAAGAACGCTGGAATCACATTCTATTTCTCATTGGGTTGAACTCTTGGCACTTTATTTCAGAGCCCCATTAATTTTTATCTTCCAAACTTTTCTTTTAATTTTTGTATGTAAATATTTGCAGATTATTTTTTACTTTCACACTTGAAATGCTTGTTTCAACGCATTTGCCACACATGGCGGATGATTCATATTTGCTCTCCGTGACTTTTCCTTTTAATGTTATCACTCTGCTCCCAGTTTCCAGTTTCCAGAGTCCCCAGTTGTATATTTGTCTAGATGTTGAGTTATGCAAATGAAAGGGAAGTAAACTTTTTCGGAAAGTGAAGTGAGAAAAATTGTTATATGCAAATGTTTTCTTTTTTATGGAAAGAGCCAAGCGACATCAACAAATGGCAAGGCAAGGCAAATAAATGCCAGCATAATTTTAATGTAAATGAAAATTAAAAAGTTTGATTGACTTAGGCCTCTTCGAGGCAAGAATATTTTTAAACTGAAAAATAGCAAATGAATTACCTATGATATAATGCATTCTGATTTCATAATTACTGAGCTAAAATGTTTATAGAAAATCGAAAAACCCCTTTTCAAAACATATTCACTAATCGCAAAAATTTGAATTGCAAAGTCTGACGCTTGTAACTCTGACAATTTGAATTGTCTGCATGGAAAGGTTGTTACAAAACCAATCTGAACAAATCTGTTTTTAATCAGAGCCGGCCATTTGTGCCATGCGTGTCAGAATGTACAGATAAACTGTCTGGCATCCAGTATTTACCACTTACTCATTTGCCTTTTCCGTTACCGATTTGTTATGCAAACGATAGAAAAAGGATACTTTATATATGCGAACAATTAGCGCTAAATGCGTTTGCATAACGACTGCGTGAAAAGCTCTGAAGAGAGGGGGCGACTTTTGCTAGTCGTATTGCACCATTTGCACAAAATCAATTAAACGCAAATGGGAAACATGCTAGGAAAGCCCCAAATCAGTAACTCGAAACAGGCGGCAGGACTAATCGAATGTTATGGCAACAGACAGAATACAAGCGGATTTCAGACACTGAATCTATCCAAAGTTGATTTAGGTTTCACGTTTTTTGGATATGAGAATGGGTTGCCAAGTCCCTTATCCGTATACATTTATTTAAAGGCTTTAAGGTGTGCTTGATGAAGGGATCGGTCATAGATCTGAAAAGCTATTTAAACTGCTTTAGAGATACTCTTTTTAGTCTTTCTTTAAAATTTCAGCAGAATAAGAAAAAGAGTTTCAAAGGTGCATTTCCTTGGCACAATTTCTAAATTGCTTTCACTAAGCCAAGTGCTAAACGTTCTCACGTAGTTTCTGAACCAAGAATAACTATAACTAGCTTTGGCTAGAACTTTATAAAATTATGCACTTAAAGTTATTATTTGAGGCGATTATTGCGACTGCAACACGACCAGCAGAAGTGCAACAATGCACGATTGCACATTCAACGAGGAGTCCATATTTAAATGAAATTTTAAGTGCCTTGGCTGGTCTACAACCTACATGAAACCATCAAGTGCCAGCAGCTGTGCTCCCTGCCTCTCCATCCAGCCATTATTCCGCTCTCTTTCCCCTCACACTCCCGGCCAAGTTGATTATTATTTCCGAGCACACTTCGTTGTGGCATTATTATAATGACTGTTGCAGCAAAATTCACCACGCACCTGACTCGAATACAATGTTACCACTGGCGGCAGCAGGAGTTGGATGATTTTGAGTTGCCCGAAGTGTCCTGCCAGCTGTTGGCAGGCGTCCATTAGGCAAAAGCCAAGGGAAGACAAGCAAATACACAGAGGAAGGCAGACAGTCGACTGTCCGGTGGAGTTCTTAGACGGACTAAGCCGACATCAATGTCAGAATGTTTTCGCTTTTCCCTAATGAAATTTATAAGCCCTCAAGTGCATACACAGAAAGGTCAGCTGACGCTGGCCATGAAGTGGATCTAATTTAAAAGTACTTGAAGAGAATTATTATATATGTATGTATACATATTTCTTCTACTCTGTGGTGATTCATCTAACCCATTTCGGGGAATTTTGCCGATTGCTTATAGAGTTATCTGAGACCTCTCTAACATTTGATATGATATGTTGCCGGATGTCAGCGCTTAAAAAAAGTAGAAATTCCCCCGAAGCTGTAGTTATCGTAAGATACGGAAATGACGAATGTTAACCCAAGCCTTTTCTAATTAACACTTTTGAATACCTATTGTGTCAACATTTTACTTTAAGAAAGTGCCAACTGATCTAGTTGCTGAGACACTAACCATAAACCTTTGAAATTCACTTTTCTATCTCTATGATTAATATTTCTTATTCTTTATTCCACACTGGTAATCACGCTAAACACTCGATTCTTCTTCTTATTTCCCAATTCAGAAACAAAATCCATTAAAACTCAAATTACAATGAGTAGCTACTCGGCAACAATGCAAAAAGGAAAACCAAATATATATCAAATCTCTCCTCCTCAGCAAATATAATTAAAATTTTATCACGTTACGGCCAACACCTGGCGGAAAAAAATAAATAAGCAGCCGAGGAGATGAAAAAAGCGAAAGGAATCATAAAAATGAAATTCAAAACTCGAAATTAAACGAAATTTTATTATTAAATGCAGGCACATACATAAACATATATAAATTTTTATTGGAGGCGCGACGTGTGCGCGTCTCAAGTGCCTGGCTGTAATAATCCCGAGCAAATATTACGTATACGCAACGTGTGCGACTGTATGTCTAAGTTTGCTGCCAGAGTGCGTGCCTGTGTTTGTGCAGGAACAGAAAATATTATGGCTCCCACACGTAGCTGCCCTCCAAGGAATCGAAGTAGGCAAAGGCGCCTTTGATTTTTAGTTAGCGGCGTCAGCGGCAGCATTGCCGATTTTTGCCAATTTTGACAGCAACTCAGGCATTGTCGTCACCGACGCTGCCGCCGCATTATTTCCGCCACCTGCCACGCCCACCAGCCGAGCGGCTGGTGGTAGCATGGGCGGGCGTCGGGAATATTGAAAATTGCTCCGTGTCTCCGGGTGCGGGTTCTGGTCCTGCTGTTGGAGCAAACGTGCCATGGATTTCAAATGAAACGTGTCAGAGAAGTTAGAGTGAGTCAGAAAAATACTCATACGCCGCGTGAGCCTTGCACATTTTTACTTCTGCTATTTGTGCACTGAGAAATCTAGTCTATTAGTTTAAAAAGGTATAAGTTAGATGGTGTAAACTGAAATATTGAAAATATCTTAGCCAAAAGCTTCTGTATTAAACTCTTTCAGGGTTGTCAGAAGTTGATCTGAATCAGCGTCAAAGCTGAGTCGATCTAGTCAAGTCCTTTTTACCTCTTTAATATAATAAATATATAAAATACTTTCTTCACATTTTAGTTTCACTGTAATGTGTGTTTGGTTGTGCTTGTTTGGGTGTGTTTGCAACTCCGTTAGGCGTAATTTTAATGGCTCAAACACGCTGCACAAACACACACTGGCGCAAACTCGCACGGAAATCAAAGTGTATTTTAAGGGGGGGCTTCGAGGGTTTTTCAGGGGATTCCCGTGTAGGTGTTGTACCGGAAATTTAATTGTGTGCGTGCTGGCGCAGTCAAATTCGGTCGTCCTGTGTTCGTTCGCTTTCGCTGTTGCTTTGTTTGTAAACAGGTGTAAAAATAAAAACTAAGGCACTCCCAGGCCATTATTGTGTTTGCATTTTGTGTTATATTTTGCGTTTATTTTTATGATCATGTCGCTCGTTACGAATAATGCCTGTGCCAACAACAGGAAACCCACTCACATAGAGATGGAATGGATGGGGAAATCGACAGCGAAGGTTAGCCATCCGCAATGGATTTGCAGCAATTTGCGCCAACACTCTTCCTATACCCACTCCCCCGCATTGCTCCTGCTCCACCTGTAATTGGCATTTAAAATAATGGCTCTAGGATGGATGGAAGGAAGGTGTGCGCTCTTCTCCAGTTCGTTTTCTTTTACAGTTCGAGTTTTGCGGCTTTGGGGGCCAGAGTTGGGCCTTAATTAATTGCTTTAATTGCAGATGTGACGAGCTGTCAAAAGGGGATTCACACGTTTGCAGTTTATGGAAAAGTTGTGTAATGTATGTAGGGAAAGGTTAATGTCTGCCGAAAGTACACTCAAGACGAGGGAATCATTATCCATTAAGAGGGTAGGTGAGTTTTAGTGGCATCGGGAAAAGCCTTTTTGAATTAATGTAAAATAATGGGAATTAAGAGAACTTTAATTGGTTTAAATTTAAAGCTTTATCTTACCTGGCAGCCGGCACTAAGCTCGTTCCCTTTCATATTTCCTATATTAAGGTTCTACTATAACCTAATGAAATTCTAATCCGCAAGACACTTTCCCTGGAAGTGTAATTATCTTATGCATTAGCCTAAAGTCAACTAAAGACAAGACATAGTTCCATTACACAAAGGGCGAAGTTAATGCGGCATAAATTATGCAGAAATGTGAAGAGCAAGGGAGCAGCGTTCAAAGGGGGCAAAAATCATCAAAGTTCTTATGTATATATCTTTATGATAGCTCACGTTATGAATGAATCAACTTTTTTAATTAATTTACGTCTGTTTACAAATATTGTTTATTATTTGGAAAAGTTTTTGTTATCTTTTTCGTACTATGACAGTAATAATATCAGTCGCAGACTGTTTATCTTTATGAATTATTAGTATAATCATTATGACTTAAGATACGATCATTTCTATTTTGAAGAAATACGTAGATAACAAACCAACTGGTGGAATTTCTTGAATCCCTCCCGACTAAGCCACTGCTGTTGTCCATGAATATTTATGGGCGGTCGAGTAATAATGTCCAGACAAGCCGTACAAGTATCTCATAGATGGCAATTCGCTTTGGCCTACAACTGTTAATTGAATGTAAATGACTGAGGACCTCCATTCAATTACCCCCACCTGTGGCACCGCATAAACACATGCATGTACATATATACGCATATTGAGAAGTATTATCCGATGCCGGCTGGAAATCAAATCATGTTTTTGTTGCCAAGTTTTGGGAAATCTATGCAAATGCGAAAACGCTTAGGCGAAGGGCCAGAGATCAGCATAAATTTAGGTTTTCAGGAAGATGAGGCACTGAGAGAAATGTATGTATGTGTTTCTATAATTTTAAAATTTATTAGTTCATCATTTTTTACTGTATCAATAGTTAAACTCTTATTTTATAGCATCAGGTATACATATACTTAAATTTTAATAATAGTTAATACTAACTTCCAGTGTGCCTGAGTAGCTTAAGAGTAGCAACACTTGAGTGACGATTGCCACTGAGAAGTGCTTGAGACTCGAGTGCCGCAAACTTGGCTAAGACTTCAATTTATATGATAACATCGGTCTTCAGTGCCGCCACCCCTAAACAATTACACATCTACAGCTTGAAGGACCCAGACTTGGGCTTAGAAAATGTTCATTTCCCTCTCGACACCGAATAAAGATATGTCTGTACCTATACATGGGTAAAAACTTGTCTCACACCATTTGGTAAAATCATTAGCCCGTCGCACCTCCGAGGAGATTGGAATCCGTTGGCCAAATTGTATTGGCTTTGCTTTTGACTGAAATGTCAACGGCATGCGGCAGGGTCCTGAAGTCGATGGCCTGCAGTGACTGGGAAATTAATTAATAGTTTTGTCTGCTCAGCTCCATGGCATCTCGCCCAAAGGCCGTCCATGTTCCCGCTCTGAGCTTGGGCGTGTGGTTCTTGGCTTTCGGTTTCCTAAGCACTTTGAGTATATTGCAGGACGATTGCTATTAGCATTGATTGGAGGCGTCCTTTGTTTGTCTGGCATTTGACCAAAAGCCCTCAGTCCTGGACTTTGTTGCGGTCGGCTTTGGTCTGAGCTTGGTCCTGGATAAGGAACGTTAGATGATTAGCTAGTTGAGAGCGTATAATTATTGTCTGGCTGTGTTTGTGGGCGAATATTCATGCAAAGATATTCATGAAATCCTTTGCCCACTGAGGTGAAAGATTATTATGTTTTGGCTTGAAATGTATTTGGTTAACTAGGGAAATGCTGTAATGGGTAATACATAAAAAGACCCCTGGTTTGATAAGGAAATCGCAGTTTAAATGATTTTGATTAAGGCCAGAATATAGTCAGAATCTAAAATACAGAACTGATGGTGTATTTCACACGTCTGAATATTTTTCAGCTTCATAGGTAGATAAAGTTTTACGCAAATTTCGTAGATCCCTTTAGCCCGCAACTTTTTGGTTGAGCTTCCTTTATGTTGTCCTGGCAACAGATTTTACAGCTACTTAATCGATGTAAACTTGATTTGAAGAACAACAACGAACCCTGCAAACAATGAGTAGATTGTAAGCAAACAATGTAACCAAATTGTGCCAACAAATAAACATAAACAAACCCCTGAAAGAGGAGGTCAGGGGACAGGAGCCGCGGGTCAAGCAGCGCAACAAAAGAAATCGCAGGAGCAGGCGTCCTTCAAGTGGGCGACAGGCTTGGTGGGTGGGCTGGTGGTGTAAATGCCAAAGCCGAGAGTGTTCAGTGATTTAGTGGCCCTGTGTTTACATTCGTGTGGGTTTGTTTGCATCGGTATCTGGATGTGTGAGGGTGGGTTGATTGGGTTGAAGCCGAATAAATAAACAAGAAATCAGCAGCAGCAGCCAGCCAGAAGCCCGAAGCCCGATAAGTGTGTAAGAGGACGAAGCTCCCGAGGATTTTGTATCTGATTCGAGAGACTTGGCCAGCACTCCGAGTGTTTTCTTTTCGGAAGCGGGGTGGTAAACAAATCACAGCATCGAGTGTGTGCGTTAACTGAGTTGCCTTCCCCCGGCTTCGTGACTTGCTTTTCCCTGCTCTGACAATTAAGTGTCTGCCTGTAGTTTTTTCTGTTTTCTGTTCTCCTTGAAGGTGACAACTCTTCTGACATCTGACTAAAAGCGATATGAGAGGGGCAAGTGCAAGATAAAATTGTTTTGCCATGAATAGATTGAATTCCCTTTGAGTGAGTATCTCTATTTTCGGAATACAGTGCATTCAAATAAACTCTTTATATCCAGAATGATGGTTGGGAATTTTTGTTTATAAGAAAATTAAACCTAAAAAGTTTTTAATTCATTCATAGATATATTTCCCAAACTTGTAAGAGTATTTGTTGATAACAAAAACGGTCTTAAATTAATCTTTCTGTAAAACTTCCTCAATAAAAATTGATAAGCATAAATGTTGTAATATAATCATGGTCTAACTTCAACTTAGTGGTAAGGTTGTTTTATCTATTTGGCGCCGACATCATTATCAATAAAATGTCCGCGATCAGGAAGTACTTTTGTATATTTTCCCCCTTAATTTCCTATCTTATCAAATTTGTCTGGGAATCATTTATAATTGTTTACTAGTGTCATGCCATATTAATAAAACTCAAAAAGTTTTCCTTTATAAATAAGATATGATTATTTTAAGGGCATCAGTTGGTTCGTTTCTATCCCTATCTGTTCTGCCTTTGACAATGGAAGGTTTGTTATCAGAACGTTTCTACATAAGAGCTACACAAGTTTGTACTAAACTCAATGGAGTATTTGAGTTGCTTTTATGGAATAGAAAACACCTTTTATCTTGAATTTCCTCTAATAAAATTTAATGTTTTTACAGCTTTATATTACCAATAATGGTGGTGCCACCGCTTTTAAATCATTTTCTTATAACCCATTCGTGCTATTCCTTATCGCATAATGACCATCATTAGAACTTATAAACGAGAGAGATAAACCCATTGAAATCGGGGCAATCAGGGAGTGCACCTTAGCTCCAAGCAGAGTAATTAACATTTATAATACCTACGTCGATTGGCGAACTGAAGTGATTTGTCAATCAATTAATTAATCAGTGGCAGAACGTATCAAATATTTCTTTTTTTTTTTGCCTGTGAACACGCGGCCATTGATTGATTTATGAGTCGCTTGTTGGATATTAGCACTGATGGAAATAGACAAGAGCAGTGTGTGTGTGTGTTAACTGGTGGCGGAGTAGTATATTTTTTTATCGTTTACCCCTATCTTATCACGCATACCTTGTACAAGTTGCCGACAAATTAAAGCACTGATTGCACCAGCGCATTGAGACACATGATTCTGTCTGAGTAAGCCTTTATCGAAAATTGGGGGCTTTTTTATGGGTCCTCACCCACTTTGGTTTATTTTTATTTGACATCATCGCCATTGCCTTGGCTCGTTTTTCAGGGCGGGGAATGCAAAGCCAACTAAAAACTAAATAAAGATACTGACGCAATAACTTAGGCAAGTGTTTTGGTTTCGGCTATTTCCTGTCGGGTGGGCTAAGACACACAGGAATTGGCATCTTCTCTTCTTCGTGTTCGTTTTCTAGGCCTTGATCAGCAGCAGAGCAAGGGCCAGGAAGCCAGTGATCAGTGGCAGGTTCTGTGCCGCAGAGCTGGCATAGCAACTGTAAGAGTTCAAAATCACAGTTAGTAAGGGACTAGAATGGCATTCCTGGCTAAGACGTACCCAATATGCGTGACATTGTGGACGGTTCCGTTCACAAAGTTGCTGTAGTTCACGGAGGCATTGGCATTGACCTGCGGAATGAGGGAGGACGAGTAGTTGGCCCTGGCCAAAATGAAGCCAGCGCTGGTCGAGACGTTGCTGGCATCCGTGTAGCTGCAACCCAACAGGTAAGTGTCGGAGACCAGTTCCAGCAGCTTGATGGTCACAAAGCTCTCCCTCTGGCCGTCTGTGAAGCTGACGTTGTAGGAAGTTTTTCCGGACAGACTGATGTTGGCCTTCTCGTAGACATTCTGGTACAGGGACTGAGTGTTGGCCGAGTGGCTGACATTCACTAGCATGTTGGTGTTGTTCCAGAAGCCAATATTCACATCAATGCAGGACACATTCGAGGCTGGATTGCGGGCCACCTCTTGCCAATAGCCAGCGAACTAAAGAGCGGAGAAGAGTTATTATTCCGGGTTGAAGAAGTGAAAGAAATAATAAACCAAATATATTGCTAAACATTTTCAAGAAAACATTTAAAACAATAACTATTTAAAATAAACACTCATCCAAAAAATGGTAATTGCATTTAACTGCAAAAGTTGTAACTGTATTCCTTTTAGGTTTAGTATTTTTTATACAAATTTACATTCACTCACTTGTGTATTATTGAAATCTAGTCCGGTGGCATCAACACAGGACTTTGGCTGATTGCCGGTTTGGGCCAGAACAGCTGAAGCTGAAGCCAAGATGGCCAAACAAATCATCACACTTTTGCACATGATGTCACTGATTTTTTTTTTTTTTCGGAGATTTTTTAATTTGATTTCTTCCCGCTGCACGGTTCTGGGTCTACGAGTTTGGTTCGCTGCGAATGCGTCGTTCAACTGAACTCGATCCCCATCCGCCACTGCCTTTTATAGGCGCGTATCTTTTTCTCTGTATTTTCGCAGCCATTATCGATGCCTGCACATGTGGAGGCGCTGGGTTCTGTCAGTGATTTACGTATATCTGACGTCTGTTATCGTCCAGCATGACTAATCTCTCTGGCTTTAGCAATCAGTTCACTCTGTTGGTGGACTCGCCTCTTGTTCTTTTGCAATTGAAAACTCCCCCCCGGTCACACACAAACATTGTCTTACCTGCAGAGGCCTTTTCCAGGAAATGACTATTTTGGCCAAAAATAATTTGGCAAGGATTTGGCGACTTCTTATCTGTGCTTCGATTTTGACATTTAATTTTTACCACTATCTCTGCAATTAAATTAAACTTGGCAAAGATTCTTAGAAAGATAGGTCAGGGTTTTGATAAAACCAGTCCGAAATTTTAGAAGTTGTACTTAATTTTGTAACAATATAATTATTTCAAAATATATATAATGCACCAGACTTTTAAACCGATTTTCATGAGATAATTATAATTCAATTACGGGCGTAATATGTCATTATGGCTTTTGTTCTTTTATAAAACAAGTACGAATGTTTTCCTCTCACCTGTACTTGTACCTTTTCCCATTACTCATTCTTTGCCCTCAGCAAAGTAATAAACAGGGTAAATTTTGTTATCACTAGTTTTCTAGATACAAGGGGAAAATATAAAATTAATTGAAATCTTCCACATTACGTTTTATCTAAGGCTCTTGGTGATCTATCTTCCTATAGAAGAATATACATATAGGAACAAAACAAAACGTTCTACAATTCTGGATTAAATTGCTTTATCACTGCCAGACACTGAGTCACTATTGAAAGCCACACTGAAAGTAAGAAAAGGCAGCACAATATTCGAAACAAGCTCGATAAATGATAAAGAAACATTATTTTTAGTATTAATTGCAATCAATGTTTTAAACAAAGGGAAACGTAAGCCCAAGAAAAGATTAAGATACATTTGCTGAAGAGAAAAACAAAGTAAAGAATATTTATATATATATTTTTTAATTTTATTTATCAGACCTTGATAGTGTGGGGATAGAGAGAGAGAGAGAGAAAATATAAATGTAAGCATTTATTTATTACTGCAAAAATTACAAAAATCAATAGGAAATTTATTTTAATTTTACAAGATTTTTTGTTATTAGTATTCCTGAAAAAGGTTGTGTGTTGTTCCTTTCGAAGAATGAATTAAATTATCAGACGATCAGCACAGAGTCCAAGAACGAAGGCCACGGCAATCAATAGCAAAGAGATGATTGTGGATGGATTGGCTCCGGCGGCATAGCAACTGAAATGAAGGAAACTATAGTCATAAGAAAAACATAACGCTAAATAAGATAATAATCTTTCCATATATATATTTTTATTTGTTTTCCTATTTGCTGATAACTGGAGAAATATAGAAATGTACTTTATGGGTGCATAATTATTTTTTTATAATTGTAATAAACTTATAGTATCTATGGGAATTTCAAAATATTCATCAGACTCTCTTTTCCTATACTTATCTAAGCATTACTCACGTTTCACCCTGAGTTATCACTGCCATGGTGCCGTTTAAGAAGTTCACAAATTGGCTACTGGCATTACTTTCCAGCTTATTGAGAGTATCGGTGGTGGGTGTACGATCCCTGGTGAGGATAATGCCAAACGATGTCGAGTTATCAGTCTGATTTGTGTAGCCACAAATGAAGGTCACATCGGTGTAGTCGGTGTAAAGGATCTTAAACACTGTGTAGGGAGTGTAGCTGGGTGGATTCCAGTAGGTGAAGTTGTAGCCATCCGTAGAGTTATTAACGGTGATGGTGGCATTCATGGTTTGATTCACCCACGGATAATCGGGCGACACTCCGTAGGTGGTATCGATCCGGACTACATCATTGTCGGGATCAACCACCGTAACATTCACCTCGGTGCAGAAATCAATTCCGGCAGGCTGTCTGGCCACCTCCCACCAGATGCCAGAGAACTGAGAGGAAAATTGTTCAGTTAATCCTTGAGCATAACAGTGGATTTATACTCACCAGATCTATATCCACTGGGATGCTGTTGGTCTCATTGCAAGCCTGGAAAACGTCATCTTGGGCCTGGGCGGTCTGACTTCCTAAAAGACAAGCCAACAGGCAGAGCAGGCCTAGTGTCGGGATTTTTGGTGCCATTATTCCAAACGGGTTGCTTGTGACACGGCCTCAGATCAAGAACTGAGGTGGCCAACAGGCCACGGTTGCTCATCAAGTGTATAATTATGCGACATAAGGCAATAATCGATCAAATTATATCTAATGAGGGAGTGCGGTGTTCACATGATGATAAATATTGCTGTCCAGGGTTGGTCAATATGCACAGGTTGGAAATGATAAGAATACTCTTTTCTTTTTATCCGAACCGTATGACTTTATCTATGAAGTGCCCCTGAGAATTTCATATATTTCACTTTAGCTTATCTGAAATGAAGAAACAAATTATGTTAAAATAATTCGTAATAATTATATAACAAGACAGAGACTGAACCTTGAAAAGCCGAAGTTTTTATGCTTTAGAAGGAGACTGAATTTTAAATCGATTATAGTTAAGCATAGCCTTTTGGATTTTTCTGTTATAATTTGTATTAGTTAAACAAATTATTTAAGATTAAAAATTAAAATTTGTTAAATATTTAATAATAATTAAATTAAATAATAATTTCAAAATCCACAAAATATCCTCTCAGTATCTGTAGGGCCTTCCTGTTCCAATGAAGTCCCATGATTTGTGGCTTTTTTAGTAAACTGACTTAAGGGCTCTCCTTGCCCACTGCAATTGCAAAAAGCATTGGGGAAAAACGCAACGCAAATGCATATTGTATATCATGTGTCTGCGACTGATAGATAACCGATAAGACCTTCGCTACATTTCTATCGCCTCTCAAGTGCTTGGCAAACACTGTCCAGATCAACGGTACTCGCCCGAGTTTCCGGTCACTGTTCAACACTGACCCACAATATCGAAAACACAGCGCAGAAAAACAAATATGCACAAGCTGGCCTACTTTAAGTTTTCACAAGAAAACTTTCAGCATTTGAATGAAACATGCCCAGAGATAAGATACTAGGCTCCAAGCCACTTCGAACAGTGTTGAGTAGCGCCATGTCCTGGGTGGGGATATGTGTGCGCTAAGCTCCAGCGATTATGTTAACGGCTCCGTGTCCTCGACTTGTCTTCGACGTGTCTTGTAAGCTCTCAAACGCCTCCATAGCACATTAATTTTAAATGTCTCACAAGCTCCCCGGGAAAGAGTTGGATATAGTAGGTAAGCGAGGGAGAGAGGAGCGAGAAATGAAGACATTTTCCGGTATAGTTGACACACATTTAACGTTATTCGGCCATAGGCTTTTGTCTCGGGAGCCGTTCCGCCTGGCAAACTTTTCAAAGTGCCAAAAGTTGACTACCAAAATGGGGAGAAAAATGCAAGAGCAGCTGGTGAAGAGGTGGCACACCCACATCTAAAACCTGCCAGCGAAGGTAGCTTGTATCTATTATTTAATTAAAACTATTCTGTATAAGAGTGTGTGTGTGTGTGAGGCTAAATAATTTAATTGGGCCATGTGTGAAATTTTGTAATGAATGACAAAACGCTCTCCGGCCCAACTGGCAGTAGAACTTTTGGAGTTTGCTTGGTAGCTCTGAAACTTTTGATTAACACAAGATAGAGTTGAGGCTGAGGTTTGTAGGCGAACACACTAATTGCGTTTGCATTCAATAGTGAAATGTTAGTTAAATGTTTTTTAGAATAGAAAATAATACAACTTTCATGACTCTTTGAAAACAAAAGATATTCTGGAAAGAGGCTTGACTTTTGTTTAAATTTTTAATAATTTTAATATTCTATATTAGGGCCACTTCTATATTTAGTACACATTGTCTAGGTCAGTACTATCAGACAGTTGAAGATGAACTTGAACCTGATTTGTCTGGTTCATATTTGGCACTTGATTCCGGTTTCAATTAATTTTTTCAAGCTAAGCTTATAAAAATGTATCTATTTATGTCCATTGTGTGGGCTTTGCTTAAATGGGACACGTGGTGGAGCCTTACAATAGAATTCAACCTTCAAGTCTGCTTTTAACTTAATAACTTGCGTCGCTTTGCTTTTAGTGATTCCTGCGTTAGAGCTTATTATAAATCTCTGCTGGCACTCAACGCGCACTTTCTCCAATGTATTTAATTACCCCGGTGAAGCCTTGAAGCCTTCAATTAACAGCAAACATGCTTGTCAAGCGGCGGCTCCTTTCTCCCTTTCCCTTTTCAGCTGCAGCCAGGAACCGCAGCAGAAGTGCAACCCATTCAAACTGGTAAAATAATTAAGTTGTTTATCTTAATGCAGGCATATCCTTTACTCACTCACACATCTGCCACTGCAAGTGACTGTTAATTACACCATGAGCCCTATGCAAAACCCCAAGAAAAGCAAAGGAAAGAGCAGCGCAAACTTTCTATTAAAGCGAAGACTGTGGCAGAGTGCACACACATGCTGTAAGCGCCTTCTTTTTCCCCCCAGAATCTTTCGTCCTTGCCTCGTACGTAGTCCTTGTGGGCGGCAGAACGAGGAGTCCTTACGCAAGTGCGCACTGCGCAAGCCAATTTAAATTTTAAAATAAGCACATTAACTGCATGCACAAGCGCTAAAGCAAACTCGGCTCACACACTTACACTCCCTTTCATTGTGGCCAACACGCGCGCATATTTAATTTGCAGCAGATTTAAGCCTTGGCTTGATTTGCGTGTGTTTTCCAACAAAAGATAACAAGTGGAATTTTCGAGATTCTATTGGGTATTTTAGTTAATCAGCTCTGACGTAAAAATATCCCAAAAGAAATTATGAACATTTTTATGAAAATCTAAATTTTGCCAGTCGTTGGTTGTAACTGCTCTACTCTTTCCTCGCCTTCCTGTGAGTAAGTGGTAAGTGTGCCTCTGTGTCTCGTCTTTAAAATAGGTCTTTCATTTTTGTTTTTGGGTGGTTGCTTTCTCTAGGCCGGTGGCTTCTTGGGATCCGGCTTTAGTATCTCGAAGAGGTGGTGGATCATCGGGCGAGGCAGCAACGTTTAACTGGCCTGCCCTAGAGAGGTGGCAGCGAGATAATGGACCTGATGGAGCTGCTCTACCTTTTACTGCTGCAGGTGCAATCAAACAATCCTTATAAATAAAATACTCCACATAGTTACATTAAATAAAGCACACACTTTTCTTTCATATTTCATAATGTTGAGTTGCTTTTTTTCGTTCTCATTCTTTTAATTATTATCCATATCTGCTTATAGAAAAAGGTGAAACTAATTGTTAAATTGGTTTTACAAAAAATGTATAAACTAACTAGTTCTTGGGGCATAATTAATTGCTAATCGTTTTGTTAATTTAATTGATATTCATATTGATGCTTGGGGTTTTCCCTCTGGGGCGACTGTTTGTCTGTTTACTTCGATTAACTGCCATTAAACATTATAAATTCGATTAAATCGCTCCATTTTTGTTTTCGTTTTCCGTCTAGGCATATATGTATGTATAAATGAAAACATCCCTCACGTATTCCGTACAAAGTCTAAGCAGTTGTAGAAAATTATTTAGTCGGTATACGAAAGATCCTTACATAGAGTCATTGGCTTGATATGCGGTCCAAAAGTTATCAATAAATTAACAGGAAAACAGTTTATTTACACACAATTCAATTGAATTCATTTTGATGCCTAACACAAGGTTCTAGATTGTTTTTCTTTTAACATTTTACATTAATTGTTTAATGTTATTTCGTGGAAGAACTACAGCAAAAGTTTCTTATTGACTTGTCCGTATGTACAACTTGCGATGGAGAAAAAGTTCTTATCGAGTTTGGTTTGCGTTGAAGGGTTTAGTTTAGGATAAAATGTTGTTGTCTTTAATATAGTTTTTGTACTGATATTGATAGTATTAGAAACCAGGTGTGCTATATTACATAAATACGATCGTTGATATGTAAGATTCAAATAAAGAATGGCAAAGAAATTAAGCTAACTATTTCGAGAAAGTATAGATTCGGGATGAAGTACTATCTCCTAACTGTATTTGGCTTTAGAAAGAATAGGTTGATATATATCTAGTTAATGTTTAGGATTAGTCCTTGTAAGCTGCTGATTTTCTTTCTGTTTTCACTCGCTCGATGATTGTGCTACTGCATTAATTTAACTGGGTCTCTTGCCACACCAATATCTATATGGGCCTTGCATTGCTGATATAGACCTCGCTTTTTAAGGGGGGTTTTCCGAAAATCACAACGACTTGAACTTGATCTAAAGCAATTATATCTCATATCATATGACGACGGCTGAAGAAGTTAATCTACGTTATAAAGGATAATCCTCTAGGTGGCTAGGGATCTTATCAATACAAGCATATCGTCCTGGGGCTCACGTCTAAGCTATATGTACTCTATGTATGAATATGTATGTATGTATAGACTACGGTTTATAGGATACATTGCATTGTGCTCATATAAGAAAATTTAACATTTCGCTTCCTCACACACATCGCCGGGGGGAAAAGGGGTGGAGAGGGGGCTATCATTGGATATATTTTTACTGCAGGGGGAGCAGATAGCGCTCCCCTTCCGCTATTTACAAATCTCATACAACCTAGGAAGTGTTTTCTATAGCACGGGGGTTCATTGACAAGGGCGCCCTGCTAGACTGGTTCACTCGATATACCTAATGGGTGTTTCTCTGATTTTCGTTTCCGCTTCTTGCTTGGATTTATCATCAAGATATAGTTTACAACGCTCTATCGACTAGTATTTAATTCTTTACAGTGTATTATTGTTTCGGTATTAAGTAAAATATGTTTTTCTTCTTTTATATGTAAACAGTCTTGTTAGAGCCTTTGGTAGTCGTTTGTTCAAAGGCTTAAATGCAATACATACGGCAATTTATATTTAGAAATGATTTAAGTTAACAAATAAGTTAATATAAACCATTTAAAATAAAAATTCTTGAGAGCAATGTAACGTTAAAATACTGGTTTTTAAACAGGCTCTGTTAGTTAACATTTGGAGTGACTCCAAAAAGAATGCAACATTTTTGAAACACCAAATACAAAAATTAATGGTCACTCCTAAGAGTATGCAATCAAAAATGTACACACAACAAATTTCATTATTTAAATAAACACTAATTTAAGGAAATAAAAATAATTTCCCATTTAAAGAAGCCCCAAAATAAAAAAAATTTAAATTCAGCAAAAAATAAAAATCCAATTCATTGTTTTCTTGATTCTTTTTATGATATTTTGGTATATTTTCGGTTGACCTTCCTGCCAAACCATTTTTCATGTTCTTTAGCAGTTTTCCTCTTTCAATGCTTCACTTAAAAACTAAAATAACAAACAAAACTAATGTTTAACTTAGGAATACATTACAGGCGTAAACTTAATGATACATTATAAATAATGTTCGTAGACCTAATTTATGTTTAGCATTATATTGTAGAATTTGGCAATCACATTGGAAAAACACTTAGGAGCTATAAGTTCTTTGCTTTGCGTCAAGTTTTTGCTTTTGAAACAGAGCGAAAACTTGGTGGTATGGCAACGGCAACCCTCTTCGATAGTCGTAAACCTATCCAGTAACTTTGGGCTCTCTGCTTCGAGTTAAGCATATCTATAGTCGGTTAAATAGCTATTGCTTTGACGATGTACACGCAGGACAGTTTTAATATTCAGTATGCTTAGCTTACGCGCTATGACTAACTGTACAGGGGCTTCCCTATTTACAAGGATCTGCTGGGAGGACATAATCTACTACTCTATCTACGCTGGTGAGAGACTGGCCGCCGCATTGTTGTTCTCCAACTGCGACGTGACGGTGGAGCAGGCGCTGCTGTTGTTGTTGGGACTGGTGGCCTCGGCGCTGCTGTTGCTGCTGTTTCCCGATGCCTTGGACACAGCTCCACCCGGCAGGGCCTTGGCCCTCGACGAGTTGCGGTTCCAACTGAAATTCAGGGCTGAACTCAGTTTGCTGGGCTTGCTGGGCTGCGATGGTGCTTGCATTTGGGGCTCAGCGAGGTCGTAGTCCTGGCGTCCAATCGAACTGGCAGGCGTGTGGTGGCTGTATCCGGAATCGGAGCCGAAGCTGGAGTCCCCATACGGATGTCTGTACTCTCCCGTCGCGGGCAGCAGGGTGGAGGCATAGGGCCTGGCCGCTCCGGCACTCTCGTAGTAGTAGTTGGCATTGTACATCGGCTCCGCATAGCCATAGGCCGGCTCCTGAGTCAGGGGAGCGGCATGGATGCGGTGGTGCTGGTGCTGATGAGGTGCCAGTCGCCGGTCAAGCATCCGCGGTTGGGTTCGCGCTCGCATCGTAGCCGCCATCAGACCACTGGCCGCACTCGACGGGTACTGCTGGGTGGCATTGGGATACCGGATACGTTCCCTGTAGATCGTGGAGAGCGGCTGGGTGGGCGCCTTGCTGAGTTGGGCATTAATCCGGTTGCGACGCTCCACCTCGTGCTCCAGGGTGTTGTAGAACTGCGGGGCCGTCGACCGAGCCATGTAGCCGAGAGCCATTAGATTACTGCGATTATCGTACAGGGGAGCCAGGTCAGCGATCTCCGCCGTGGAGGTGCTGTTGTTGAGATCCTGATCCTGCGAACACCTAGGCTGTCGCGTACGGGGAGTGCGTCTAGCTGAGGCGGCAACGGAGCCCGAAGCCATTTCGTGATTATTGTTGCTGGCCGACGAAGCCGTGGCCGTAGAGGCATCCTGGCCCGTCGAGGAGCCACTGCTCAGGACACTGTGCCGCTCCTGAGTTACTAATGACGTGGCGCCTGCAACGCTACTCGCTGGCACTGCACCGCCTGATGCACCTGTTCCGTTGACGCTACTACCCGCCGCCCTCTCGTGATAGGGCGTGGCACCTGGGCCAGCTGGAAGAGTATTCTCTTTCTGGAAACTGCACTCGCCCGGCAGGGAGAGCTCGTCCTCGGCGAAGTCATCGTCGGAGTGGAGTGGGGGCTCTGATTCGCCATCGGAGTCAACGCGTCCAGGGCCCAGCTCCTCGTAGACATTGTCGTTCGAGCGATAGGGATCGGGTCCAGGTGAAGAGCTGACCAAGAACGGTGGCGACCGCGTCATGGGATAGCCGCTGGGGTAGTGAATGCTTTTGCCTTGGAGCAGCTGTAAGGAAAAAAAGGAGAGAAACATTCAGTTAGTTATGATTAAAGGAACATAAAAATTTATGGAAGCGGGAGGATAAAAGGGTTGATGTTACTTTCGCTTTCTTGAATGCACAGAGAAAAAAATATGAGGCAAATATTATATTCTAAGAATAATTTTAAGCTTCTGAGTCTATTTTTAAAAAGGATTTCTATTATTGTCTCAAATTTCAAATTCCTTTAAAGCAATAAAGTTGGGCATTAAGTTAAAAAGAAAAAGTACAAGACAGTTTTGCGCTCTGTGTGCAATTGCAACCCTCCTGCGGGAAAGGAAAAGGTTTTCCTAAGTAAGCCGCTTTACAGCCGCCTCGTAGCCTCGGGCAGGACTTTGAAATGTGACAGGACAAGGAGGCAGCAGAAAAAGGGGCAAGGAGCAGAAGGCAGCCAAGCAGCAGTAAGCAGTTGTTGAAACAGAACAAAGCTGACAAAGGCAAAAAAAATAAATAAAAAAACGCTAAAAATGCCACAAGAAATGAATAATAAATGCAAAGAAAAAAAACAAGGAAGTTGAAATGCCCCAGTTAAAGTTTTAAAAGTAAAAGTCAAAGGGGTTGTTTCTTATTTCCATTTAAAACGGAACGAAATATTCGAATAATTGGAAATGTAACGAGAATATTTAAAAGTAGGCTAAATAGCGATTGGAACAGGGATTTATTTTGAGCCGCCAGTTCATATTTAACCTCAGAAAAGGCTTCCCTAAAGGAGCTGTTTATCAGACAATAAAATAAACACACACTCCCCGAAAATAATGGGATAGGGAGACTTGCGCCGACAAAAGCGCAAGACTTGAACATAAAATATGAAAAAATGAAATAAAACCGAGGGGAGCGCGTCATAAAGAAAACACGTTTTGGGTCAGAAAAAGCCTTCGAGGCGTCAGAGTCGTAAAATATTTAGGCACACAAAAGGACCTGAAATTAAGCTGACTGGGGGTAGGCGACACACAGGATATTCCGCACCAACACACGCCCATATCTTATGAATATGTACGTCGAACGAGTGTATATCTGCCACGTCAAGTTCAAGTGTAAATTGAGGCGTACAATGGGCATAAAGAGCAGTAGACATAAATGAATAATATGCAGAAGGGGATATCCTCGCGGAGAAGGAAATGTGGTCTCGTCTTACAATTGAATTGCATGTGACAGGATCAAAAACAGTGCGCAGAAACCCGAGCGCGAGACAATGACTGGGCAATGTTTTGACAGCGATTGTCGTAATGTTTGGCAGTTGAGTGAGGGTGGGAATATTGTGCCAGGTATTGTTCTCTAGCCAGGAAGGATATATGTCTGCGGAGATACTAACCTCGGAGTGATGCTGCTGATAGTGGTGATGATGATGCGGCAGCTGCTGGTGATGATGATGCCGGTGCATTACCAGCGGCCTGTGGTGACCCAGATGCGCATCGGGATCCTCGTACATCCCGTGATGGTGATGATGATGCGTCGATCCCAGAGTGCCGCCGCCCAGAGGCATGGCTCCATTCAGGGGGCCGCGGGTGGGCGTCTTGCAGGGCAGCAGGTTCTGCACCTTCCGTTTGTTTCTGCAAGAAAAGAGAAGAAGGCGATTAGTAATTGTTTCAGGGATAGCTAAAGAAGAATGATGATGATGGTGATGTTGCACGGCTTTGGCAGACATTTAGCATCCCAGCCCCGCCTACCGCCTACCGCCTTCCGGCTAATAGAGCCATAAGTTCTTGGCCACGCCAAAGATAAATCGATTTGTAATGACCAAGAGTGCGGGAGTAGCAGCGCAGGCAGACCAGCGGCAACCTTGATAAATGTCAGGTAAACAAGCCAAGGACCAAGAGCTCCATCCCATTTCCCCACCTCCCCCCCGGAAAGTGGCCCCACAAAAACAATTTGATTAATAAAGAATGCCAAAGCAGCCAGGCCAGAAACAGGCAACACACACAGCCAGGACTCCCCCAAAATTCAATTTAAATGAGCACAAAGCGTCAAGCATGTCAGAATGATGACGAGCGGGAGAACAGGCGGGATTCCCAAGAAGCGACAACCGCGTGCCATGAAAATAATGAACATAATTAAGTGTTGCCCCTGGCAAAGAAAACAGACAAACCGACAGACAGCCTTGGGTATGCCATTGCCACCCACCATAAGCATAATGAAAAATGTGAAATTAAATTGACGCCACGTAACAGGGCAAGGATGAGCCCGACATCCTTGTAATGTCTTGTAGGTAAACATGTTGCGATGTCAGACCGGCGGAAGTCGCTCGTAAAAACTCTCGGCACACAAAACACACACAAGCATACCGAAGAGCACACGTGGAAGAGAGCTAACTGCCGCTTGCGGAATCCGATTGTGGGAGGACATTAAAAATGCTTGCCTACTTTAAGGAGTATTTGCCCGGAGGCCAAACGAGAATTGCTGACAATATACGAATATGGTGTGACCTATATTTCAATCTAAAAAATACGTTATGTTTTAAGTTTCTAAGGGATTAAGAAGATGACTTAAGAAAGTCTATACTGAGAAGGAAACTTAAATTCTAAAATCCTAATAATCCTGGCATTCTTAAAGCCACAAACTGTACCTCATACTGTGTAACATCTTTGATTCCCTGCAGGATATAATAGACAGCAAACACACACACACACACAATCAGGCCTCTCGCATTTCATGTTAGCCTGCTGAAGAGCAGCTTGTTGACTTTCTGGCGAGAGCAAGGCCAGGAGGAGTTGGCCAAGAGGGCGGCCTGGCGCCTGCCTGGTAAAATATTCTTAAAAGTAAATTAAATAATGTGGCATGCCACAAGCCAGAGCACTGTGCACTCCGCTCTCCGCACTCGACTTGTGTCTTTGGCCCTTGACTCCGCCTCGGAATGAAATGGAATGGCATGGAAGCGAGCGTGTGCTTCATTTCATTTCATTTCACTTACGAGGCGTAAAAACGAAATCAAGAATGGGCAGGGAGCTGGGGGCGGCATGTGTGCTGTATGTATGCTTAACCCTTTGAGAGCCTTGTTTGATTTCTAAGCGTTATGGCCGGACGGCCATAAAGGCTGGGCCCCCAGAGTGTCGTACAATTTGGCAAGAAAGTAAACCATTTGTATGCTGGATATACGTATGCAAAAAGGGGTTGAAGAGGCCGAGAGGCAGGGAGCTTAAGCCAAATGCGAAATACCTTTGGGGGCAGAAACAGACGAAGACACGGGGCTTTTCCTTTGGCATAAGCAATTTACAATAAAAAGTAGCTGGCAACCAAAGGGGCAACAATGTTAGACGAGTAGTTGTTGGGGGGCTGGCAAGAAGTGAATCTTTTATTTATGAACTCTGAACTAAAGTTCCAGCTACACACACACTCAGACTCACACTTTTGGGGGTTGCAAGGAGTAAAGCCCGGCACGTAAAAAAGCAAAACTACAAAAGAAATGAAACCATACGAAAAGAATGAAAAGTACTATGGATATTCCCCAGGTATAGCAAAATGGGAAAAGGGAAAGAGGGCAGGCGTGTTAAGACTTTGATATGGAAATATCTTGAGAAGATATTGTAACAAGGTAACTAAACAAGCAAAGGAAAGAAGTGATCAGAAGAAAACCATTTTTAAAGCTTGCTGTATTTTATTTTTATTTTAAACTCTACTAATTTCTTGCCTTTTCCCTTGCCTACTCTCTTATTAATAAACACATTTTGCCAGCCAATAATTTCGTTTGAAGTGCAGTCAAAGTAAATGCTATTTGACTGCTTACTTAGGCCACAAAACCGACACCGCCACTTTGGTGGTCAGCCGGCTAGCCCCCTAAACCCCTTCACGAATGACCATTGCATAATTTCGCTGCAGTTGACCAGCCGGCGGCAACAAGCAAACAAACCGCAGAGACAAAGCCACAGACCAAGAACCGACTGGGCATCAAGTTACCAAGAGCTGGGGCGGAGGACGGGACACACAGCTGTTGACAGCGTGAGTCACATGGCAACTGGGGGGATTCCTGGTACGGGGTTGCATTTGATTAAAAAAAGGAAAGCCAAATTGCCAAGACGACAGAACGTAATGATGATGATGAGCAGCAGCGCTCGCTTCTGGGCTTTAATAAGCTGAAATTGTGATTGTTATGGCACACATCCCGGAACTCCAGAGGAAGTCAAACAGACGGCGGGGGAGGCGCACGGCCTCAGTCAGATAAAATTGATTTTATTTATTTAGCAGTCAACAATGCTAATGCTGCTGTAACTTTTACTTTCCCCGGTTGCCGGGGTTTCCCCTCCTCATTTAATATGAATGAGCCCGGGCCGACAAGGCCTTGACTCCGCAGCAGCCTTAAATTTGTAAATTTTGTAAAATATCCCAGGACTCGTTATAATTGCACACAAATTAAGCATGAACATTTATTGAAATATTATTAACTGGCGACAATGTTAACAATTTTAATAACAAGCGCTTCAGATTTTTTACTCTGCCACACGCACACATGTTGCATATGGTTTTGGGGACGACACTCGCCATTCGTGTAATTAATAAAGTTCCAATATGCAAACATTTGCGCCAAAGTGAGTGTGTGTTGAAAACACTCTGGCGGTTTATTAAAATAATTAAGGTAATTACGAGCGGAAATGGGGGAGAAACCGAAACAAAATGCAAAAACAAAAAAAAGAGAAACGAAAAAAGACAGAATGCATCATAATAAATGCAATTTATGGTTTGAATTTTATACGATAATCGGTTCGAGGCATGCAGTCGCCGGAGCTATTTAATTAATTATTTATAAAGAATTTAAAAGCCCCCAAAACGGATGTACATGAACACTGACTTTTTCTCGCAGTGCTTGTGCCCGATGCCCTTGAGGTGGCATTATGATTATTTGATTTGTTCGAGGCTCGAACAGAAATATAAATAAAATTAGTTGCTATTTTATTTATGTGTTTTCATAGTTGTGTGTTGCGTTTGTGTGTGGGCCTCGTCCTTCACTTTGCTTTCTCACTCTGGGGTCCAGGACACGCAGCACATAAAAGCAAAAATAATGTGCCACATCATAAATGCCACAAAAATGGCACGCACACATATACACAGCTACGGCTCTGGGGGGAGGTCAGACACTTAAAGCATACTGACGCACACACATATGCATAGATAACTATGTAATAAAGATGCCCGTTTGTCCCTGTGTTTTTTGTTGGCTTTGTTTGGCTTGCCATAACCTCAAAAATGATGAAGCACAACAACAGCATTCGGTGTTCAGTGTTGTTCTTTTGCCCCAACTCCCGCCCCCATTTCCCATTTCCCACTCGCCTTCCACCCACTGTGCGTGCGTGCGGTCAGCAAACTTTAATGAATATGTATGAAAATCGCTTGTAGCATCTCCGTCCCTTTTTCCCAAAGACCCATGAATATTTCCGTTCGGTCCAAGTTTTCTGTTGTTGTTGAAAGGAAAATCGATTTCGGGAAGGGACTGTGCCTGTGCCTGTGTGTTGGGGAGAGCATGTTACTTCAACACTTGTTGATGTTAATGAGCGCAGGGGAATGGGTGAAGTTTTCCGGCCTCTAAAAATCCTAGCCCAGAAAAAGCCTCTCGTCCTTGGTGCAGCTTTAACCCATTAAAGCTGCGGGCAGGCATGAGGGAAGAAAGAAAAAACAGTGTCGGGCTGAGTGTAAAGCTTTGGCCTTGCCTATAACCATTATCTAGCTTGGATTTCATCCCCCTGCCCCCCCTGCTTTCACTCTGCTGTGCGTGCAAAAATCTTTGCCAGCTTTTCCAGCTTTTCCTGGCTTGGTATCCACACTGCATTACATGCAAACAATGTCCAGGGCTTGTTTCATTCGCCCTCGTTTTTTGCTGCTCCGCCTTTGTGGTTTATTTCTGTAGCAGATTTCATTTCGTTTCGCAATCTGACTGAGTTTTTTTTCCGAGTGTTCGTGTGCGGTTGTGTGTTCTTGCTTTATTTTGCGGGGACCGTAAAAGTAAATTGTTTTATATCTTTACTGTTTTTTTTTTTCACCAACTAAAAGTTGATTTGTGTGAGGGTGTGTGTGCTTCAGCCATTTCTCACGTGCTTTTTTCCTTGTAGCCGCCGCTGCAGCAACATTTATTTAAAATTTCAATTTAATTTAGTTTCGGTTTTAAGTGCAACCAAACCCACTAACACACTCGCATTGCCATATAGGTCAGTGTGGCTCCGCTCAAAAGTAGACTACATTAATTTTCGTTTGGCTAGCAATGCGTTTTTCCTCCTCCCTCTCTGTCTTTCCTGTCGCTCTGTCCCCCTTCGACAGCTTTGGCAAATGGGTTTTTACTTCTTTGGGTTGCTTTTCTTCTCTTTTTTTGTGTGTGGAATTTTTTCTCGCGTGTTTACATACATTTTTGATATAGTTTTATAATGTTTATGCATCGCTTGCATTTTTTATATGGCGCGAACATTTTTGCGGCCCAACACTTTTGCCCTCCGCTTTTTTTTACCTGTTCACCTGGATTCTGTGAATTTATTATCCTCTGAGCTGACCAAGTTTATTACGTTTTTTTTAGCTGGTGCTTGGCAGTTGAATTATTTAGCTGAATTTTAAATCTATGCTATAATCATTTTTATATGCTAGAGTTAAGCTTTTCTTTAAGCCATCAACAGTGGAAAATGTTACCAAAACTTTGCCCTGCTGCCGCTAAAAAATTTCTATGAAATGCAGCAACTCCGCCTCTTTATCGCATCTCAGCCATCTACCACTGGAAACTTCTTTTCCAGCGGTTTGGAGCCACATAAATCATAGGGGCAAAAGAGCAACAACACGCCGCATGCAACATGTTGCAGGCCGTGGTTGACGCCTCCTTTAAAGCCTCAAAAGACTGCAGCTTCCACTGCGGCAAAAGGAAAAGAAAAACAAAAAGAAAATATAGTTGCCAGAAGGGGACAAGCCGCGATAATAGTCAAGACAAAGCCACACAAGGCGATTAAAGGGGGCGATTTCCAGAGGGAATATCGTCTGTGTGTGTGGGCCAAGCCAAGTAATTGAGTCATTGCGGGGATCTTTGCACTGAGCACTGAAAAAAACATCAGCTAACTTTTTTCAGAATTTAAAGTGTACCTTCTAGTTGTAAATATTCTTAGCTTCCTTCAATTTGAACTTCTCCTAGCTTTTAAGATTGATTTTTATAGTTGTCATAAGTTATACCCCCTTTTTAAGTAATTCCTTTCAGTGTACTTACTTCCAAACGAACAGCGACGAGATGAGAACAATCAAGACCAAGAGCAGCGCGAACACGGCTATCATGGCCGATGTGGCCAGCGACTGACTGCTGTACAGGCTGGCATCCAAGATCTGCAAAGATATAGAGAGAGAGATGGGATTTAGTCGGGGAAAAGTAAAAGTTAAATGTGAGTAAATCAACGCTCAACTCAAACACAAAGCCATTTTGCATATAAACAAAGCGGAAAACCAAGCCGAAGGAGGAAAATATTTTGGTAAATATGCCTAACGAAATGCAAACAAAAGCGCAGAGCACGCGACTTGGGCTGTTAACCTTTCGGTTACTTGGTTTCCCTCCATCTCGAGGAAGTTGGAAGTGTAGGCGTTTCACCTTTTTTTACTTTTTTTTTTTGTTGAATTTTTCCTTCGACCTGGGCCAGGAAATTAAGGTCAGCTGAGTGGGGATAAGGCCCGGCAAATTGCCTTTGAATTTATGCTTGGGCATGCAAAAAAAGTTACGAAATAAATGATGAAGTCGGGGATAAATAGGAAAAAATCAGTTGATAAGAAAAGTGAGCAAAGGGGGAAGGAAATCCTTGGTAACTGCTTTATCCCTAATAAAGACTGTTTTCTAGTATTCATAACTGCAAAATGAACTCACTTAAAGCCTTTGAAATGTTAAAAAAAATATTGTTTTAAATGTTTCATTGGGAAAGACTCTACCATTCGGTTTTGACTGACAACTTTTCCTATCGCACTTCCGCCTCTCACCTGTCACTGTCAAAAACTAGATAAGCTTGCCTAAATCTCGAATATTTTTAATAAAGTCTTTTTATTTATTACTTATTTTTATTTCATTTTTATGGAACGTTTGACTCGCAAGTCGAACTTGAAAATCCAAAACAACCAGCAGAAGAAGTCGGGGAAAACTACTCCACAAATGCACCTGTCGCTTGACACACACACACACGCCGCAGCATAAATCACTCAAAAACATGGAAAATATTTTTCGGAGAGTGAGAGACTCGGAGAAGCACAGGCAGCTTCGCCAAACACAGAAATTGGGGTCAAACTTTGACAGCTGTGCAAATAATTTCGCCAGCAACTGTGCTGGTGCTGGTGTGCGTGTGTATTTAACTGGCAGTCATTGTTTGTATGTAGGTTACACTTTAATTCGTAATGCATTTTGTGCATTTACTAATTTATTAAAAGCATTTTTCCAACTTTTCAATTTCGATTTCGATTTATTTGCGCAGCTCAAACACAAATACGAGTGGCACAGTTTGCGCCAAAATGCGGAAGCCGAGTGCCCTCACAAAGCCATCCAAATGCTTATCTACCCCGGGTAATTAATCATGCGCTTGCAGCGAGTATAAATATTATTAATATTTCATTGAGAGCAGCAGCAGATTGAGAGTGCAAACAAACAGTCCCCGAAGAGCGCACATTTTCATAGATAAGCCATAAAAATATTGACATCCCTCTCCTCCAAATGGCGAAATTGTTTAAATTATCGAATCGGGGGGGGGGAAATGCTCCCATTTGGATCGCTTATCACGGCACCCCGACAACACACCGAAAATTAAGAAATTTGTATTTGGAAACCCATTCGAAGACAAATCGACGCAGTCAAATACAAATAATAATAAATTAAACAATTATGTGCGGCAGGCGTGTGTGCTCAGTGCAACGCCAAAAGCTGAAAATCTGGAGGCGGGGAATCCCGGGCAAACAAAAACAATAATGCTGCTCCAATGCTCGTAATCAATTTGATTAATGAGACCTGACGCGAGTTTTCCCTCTGTCTTTTCTTCTCGGAGCTCTGATCATTCGATTTCGTCTGAATGTAGAGCAGTGGCATGACTTGGGGGAATGGCCAAGGGCCCCTACAAGCTCAGGGGAAAAATGTGGAAAGAAATAACAAAGCTTATATGTCACCAAAGGTTTCTTTGTAACAGGTTTTAAGTATTATATAAATATATAAAATAAATTCTTACTTTTATGATAACTCTAAACATTCCATTTCTATTTAAAAAAAAGAGATATTTCCCCCTACAAATAACACAAGTTTCCCCCCTCTTTTCCCGCACATATTCCCAATTGAATTTATAGAAATCACACTTGCGTCATTCAAGTTTTTTTTCTTCGTGAAAAGAAAAACGAAACAATTTCCTTTTGTCTCGCCCTGGCAACATTTCCCTCTTTCATTTCGTACGCTTCACACATTTCCCAGTCAACTTTGAACTGCATTGTGTGCGACGGCGTGTATGTGCGTTGATAATCGATAAATCTAAAATACATGTGTTACTGTGTGGACTCGGTGAGCGTTTACCTATTTGTAATGCTCATTTTGGGGCCAGGCAAATATAAACGAGTGGGGAGTGGTTGGGGCCAATAACTGTACGCATTGCGACAGTTGTCGATTGCCACCGAAACGCTTCCAGCTGCCTCACGGATTAAGCCGAAGATAAAACACAAAACTACACAAAAAGTCCAAGTTGAAAGCAAACAGGGTCGGCATTATCGATAGCCACAGAAGTAGAGCTGCCCCCTGTTTGCCCAGATAAGCAGTGCCACCGGTATGATTGAAGGCTTCTCGTCAAGCAAACCCTCTCTTTCCAAGTATTTAACAACATACACACTCCCTTTGCCCCCGGGCATTCCATAAATTAAATTAAATAAAGGAAAGTAGGAAAAAAAAAGGAGTAGGCAATGCAAACAAGAGATAACGATAACACTTTGAACGATTTATGTCTAGGCATAGGTACAGGGAAATGCACACAGTGGGCGCAGGGAGAAAATGAGATAAATTTTGAATTCATGTTTGCCTTTGTTATTTTTGTATCACATCCCCGGGCGAATCTATACTTGTGAGTGCCAGTGCACTTCCAGGAGATCTCAAATACTTTTTCTTGTGCATCTAGAGAGCAACTTGGTCGATAAAATAATTAAGCCCTCCTTCAAGTCGCAGACAACAAAAGCCATTAGTCGGCGGGGGCTTCGAGGGGAATGCTAAATAATGGCATAAAGTTTACACCCCCCAAAAAAGAATAATAATAATAAAAAGCTGGAATAAGGCAAAGTGAGATTAACGCAGCCGGAGCTGCAAAATGTTGTTTACTTTTATGCGTGTGTGCTGGCGAGTGTTTTTCCGGCTTTTGTGGCAACTTTTTAATCATGAAAAATCGCCAGGCTCAAGGGCGGCAGCATGCGGCTTGAGTAGGCCATAAAGTGAAATGTTTGCCGTTTGCCTTTGACCCAATTTTTAAGTGTTGCCAAAGTGCATAAAAAACTCTAACAACATTGTAGAGCGGGAAATGGGAGTTGGACCGTTTGGCAAGTCATCAAAATCAGTCGTCAAAATGTGTTCCAAGAGAGGGAGAGAAAGGGGGGGAAAAGTTCTACTCACCGCTGCAGAAACTTTAAAGTTAACAACTTTTCTCTCTTTTCCTCTCTCTCTCGGAAAGTCAACGACGACGAGCGCGTTTTCATTTTCGTGCCTGATGAGAAAAACACAAAAGTTTACCCGCCATCAAAACACGACAAAAGGAAAAGCTAGCAACAAGCACGTGCCACTTGCAGGAGGAAAACTATTTTGCAACAGAGCAGCAGCAGCAACAACAATGACCAGAACTTGGCTGCTTTGATAACATGGCAAAAGTTTTTCCGAACATGCGATGCATGTGTGGCTGGCGCCTTTTTTTTAACACCCCAAAGCCCCCGCCGCCGCAGAACTTCGATTGCCTTGCACGTGCATATCTGCAATCGACCTGCTGGATATATCCTTCGGCCTCCCCTTCTCGTCGATTTTTGCGCCCTGTTTTTGTAACCACTTGGCGGTGCAATTGTTTGGAAACAGCTCGTGATTGAGCCCCATTCCCATAAGATGCTCGGGAGGGCGTAATGAGTTGCGAAACTTGTTGGGCCGATGTGGCTAAGATGGCGCCGATAATGGGGGAATGGAAAAGTGCAACAGAGAGTGGGGAATGCAACTGAAACAACTAAATGAAAATTGTGCGAGCTTAAAATGTAAGCTAAATATTTGTGAGTAAAGAATTTTCAAGCCGAGATTAAGATGAAGTGAAAGAGAATGCATTTTTCTGGCTTACATTTATTTAAGCAAAAGAATATTTCTAGATACTTTTTAAATACATTTCCTCGCATGAAAATTGAATTTTTTTGTTGGGTCCGCATACCCAAACATTTTTCATTGTCCTCCCGCTCACTCTCCCTCTTGCCTTCTGATTTCTGCGACTGTCTGCAGCTGTGTCTGGCTATGTCAACTGTAAACAACATCAACACTAAACAGCAACAGCAACAACAGCCTTGTCATTCTATGCCAACACCACCCACTGGACCTCCCGGCCCACCCATGTCGGGAAAACCAAAAGCCAAAGCGCCCAAAAGCAGACTACAACAAAAGCCAAAGGCAACAACAATTCGCTATATATACACATACATTTATATATAGAGAGAGAGAGACAGGGAAAGAGGAAGTGGCTAAGGAATTTCGCATTCTCACGACATTTGATATCAATGTCATGCTATTTGCTACACACCCAAGTCTGGATGTCCTTTGCCCCGCCGGCATCCCTCTCGGATCCCCCCACATACATATATCATCATCTTCAACAGTTTCTCGTCGTCTGCTTAAAGGAAAAGTTGAGACATTTCTAGGGAGTAGGAAGCGAAAGCTGGAAAAAGGATTATTTGCTGCCACGCCCATTGGAGCGAATCAGGAGCTGCTTGTCAAGTATTTTTGCTCCTTCGCTCACATGAAATTTAATTTCGCTTGTCTGGCGAGGATGCCACTTCCGCTCGCCTTTTAAAGGTTTTTCCTCTCGTCGTCTGCCTGCCTCTCGTTTTGGCTTTTTCCGTTTTTCCTTTTCCTTCTGGCAGTTGACAATTACACCCACACGCCAGCGCGAACGCAAAGGCACACGCGCCGCACTCCCCAAATTGGCACAATTCCCGTTAAACTTATCAATTTGATGGGCGAGAGAGCTTTCTGCCATTGAATTTTATTCCTTGAACGCTAATCCATTAAATTGATTCGGATGCTCAAATTGATTTTAAGCTGATTTCGTCGAGATTTTAATGCGTTTACCTGCGATTTATATGGAATTGCATTTCTGCGTAGAGGTCTTTGGTAAATTCCCTTTCAATCTAATATCCAAAATAATCTCTGGACGAGGGCCGTGAGATACAGTTTCCGACATAAACTGCATGTTAACATTAACATTTGATTTGTCAGCATAAATCAACGGAGACAGCCTCAAGTGCCCACACACGGGTCTGCGCTGAGACTAGATGATATGAGGGGACCACACACAGATCCGGTTTATATAGATACACTTCGTCTTTTATTTTTTTCTCCCATTTCGTTGCGTTTCGTTTTGGGTTATATTTATTTAAATTTTTCATGTTGAAAATTAAGTGGAAAACACTCGACTCGACTCGTCTCGGAGTTGGAGTTGGAGCTGCAGACAGAGTTGGGGTTGTTGTGGGGCACGTGAAATTTAACCAATGACCGCTGCTGCGGTGTTGATATGTGGAATTTGATCTTTGTTTTACCAGAACCCCGGACATCGCCTCAGCGCCTAAACAAACACTTGCCCCAGATTAGACGAGTGCCGAGTTACAGTTTTTCCGCATGAAAAATTATCTGTCCTTCGTTCGTGCCACACAACAAATTATATATATAAATATCTATTTTTTCTTCTGTCATTTTCTGTTTCTGTTTCTCTTTTTTTTTTTTTGTTTCTTTTTGTAACCGCTGACAACCTTTTAAAGTTGAGGGTTGATTCCGGGGCCATATGTTGCCGAAGGACTGTCGGCCGAAAAATGCTTTTTGTTGCCACTACAGTTGTTGTCCTTTTCGTGTTGCTGCCGCTTAACTTTTCATTGTTATTGTAATTTCTGTGACTGTGTTTCCTCTCTGCCCAAAGAGGGGATGGTCATCGCCATCGTGATGATCATCATCATCATCATAACGATGAGGTCCAGCTCCAAGGAGCAACAGCTGTTGCTCGGGCAACTGGAGGCCAAAAGGACTTGAAACGAAAAGAAATTTGTTTCACTTTGCTTTAAAGTGATTCCTTGCGGTTCCTTCCAGCACCCGAATTGTGGGCGATGTGTGTGCGAGTGGGCGTGGCCTGTTGGTAATTTTTCATCGAGTCTCCTCTTTGCTTGGGTGGCAAACTTGAATTTAAAGGACCCTAAAGTGGTTGGGTTATAGCTTGATTTTTGCCTAAACTGAGCTGTAAACTCAAGTGTTTTTAAAGTTCCCATTTCTGCACAGGCTTGATAGTCCTTCAATTATCCTTCTGGTTCGCAAATCGAACAGATTTTCAATCAAATGCCGCAATTTTGACTTGTCAATAAATCAAATCGGATCCTGCAGTTGATTTTCCGAGTGCCTACTCAACTGTTAACATTTGTTAACATAACGCCACGCCCTCCGCCACTACCCACCACTTGAACTACAACAAGGAGGCTGTTGTTATTGTAATATGCATATAGCACATAATTCAATAAGGCAACAGAAATTTCTGACACCTCTCACAAAAAGCCAAATCACTTGCAACTCGTTTCGGGAACACACAGAGGGAAAATCCCAACAGCTGTGCCAAAATGCAGGCCTCATTATGGCATTGCGGAGAGGGTTGTATAATCATCCACCCGTCATCATGGGGTTGGGTTGGAAAATCCCATTTGCAACGCCCTCAAAATTATAATCAGCCTAAGCTCAGCAGCCCTAAGGGGAAGGGGAAGAAGGTGTCACCTAGAATTGGACGGAATACTCTACAGAAAATTCCAAGGTAAGGCCAGATTTGTTCAGAACTCCACCAGATTTTCCAATTTCTTTTCAACACTTAAACTGAGATTTCAACTTACCGGCATTGCCTGGCAGACATCGCTGTCCCACTGCTGCTGGGCCAGTGCCTCCTCATTACAGTCCTGGGGCACCACCGTATATTCCGCCAGGGCTGGCGGTCTGGGTGGCGGCGGGATGAGGAACTGGGGCGGCGGGGCCAGGGGCATGCCCGAGCAATCGTCGCAGTCGAACATGAAGAGCTCGGCTTCGGAGAGGTCCATCATATCCAGCATTTTCCACATTGAATTCGCGTGACTTGGGCTTGTCGGGGGATCCTCGCTCTTCGAATTTCGTGGGATTATCTATGGGGTTTCCCCGCTACGGTTTCGAGTCGCTTTGAAGTTTTGGGTGCGTGTCAAATTCGCTGCCCGATCGCTGTCATCTGGACAGCCTTCATCGGCGGCCTTTGAGCTGCAAAAAGAAAGGAAAGGTTCTCTGGTTAGTTGAGTTTAAAAGTACTATACTCTCTGTGCCCAGCATGTGTCCTTGGGTTCCTTTTGTGTGCTAATTATCTCCCACATGGATGTCCTGGCACGTAACATACACTGGGTTCCCTATACGTAATTAGCTTGATCCTGGCCATTGCCCTGCATGGCACGCCTGTCGCCCAACCAAAAAATGAAAAAAATATATATATGTCTCTCCCCCTGGGCGTCACCTAACCACCCCCTAGACCCAATGTTAATTTTTATTGATTTTGCTTAATGCGTTTCCATTTTTTGCTATTTATTTTTATTTACTTTGCTCGCCACGGCTTCGTTCCGTTTTTTCCTATTCCTATTTTTATCCCTGCGCACCCTGATTTCTGTCGACTCACTGGCAATTGTTTTACCCCGAGTTTTTTTTCCGCGCGTGGAGTGTGTGTGTGTGTGCTCCTTATTTTCTATTTTCAATACTTTTATTATTATTATCCTTTTTTTTCTGACTGCGGTTGTGTTTTTTCTTCACACATATGCTGACAAAATAATTGAGAAAAAACAGTTGACTTGGTGAAACCTTTTCGGGCGATAGGGTTTCGGGGTTCAATTGAGTTAGGAAGGATGATTGATGGTCCTGCGAGGCAACCCGATATATTACGAGCCGCCGTAGGTAGGAATGAATCCGGAGAGTTTAATCGAAACTTAAACATTTGGCTGCCGCTTGTGGGACTTGTCTCTCAGCCACTCTGACAGCTCAAGAATTCCCCATCTGCTGCTGTGTGGGGTAGTCCAAGTCCAAGGTTGGAATCGGGATCGGGATTGTGATTCTGATTCTGATTTCGAGGCTGGATTCCCATTCTCAACATATGTTGCCAGTTGGCTTCGTTTAATTAGCTGACAGTTCTGGAGAGGAGCGGCGGAGAGCCGAGTCTCGAGACTTGAGACTCGCCCGGCAGCCTGATAAGATCTCACATAAAATATATACACAATGTGCAGTATCTGTGTGTGTTGTCTTGCAATCAAATGTAAGCCGCTGTTGACATTGGAGATTAAAAGATATTAAAAACGAAGACGACAACGGCCTGGGCCGGCTCGGAGGAGGAAGCCGGAGGACAGAGGCGAGCGACGAGAGACGAGAGCGAGTGGGGACTCTCGGATGTGGACACAATGACACACAGACAGACAGTCGGAGGGACACACAAAACATGTCAAAGATGAAATGTTGTAAAGAAAATTGAATTGAATTGAAGTCCAGCGCAGACCAAACTAATAAATAACAAAGAAATCGGAGGGAAATAAAAGTAAAGCCAAAATAAAGGCGGAAAGAAATCTCCAAAGCCACGATTGGGTTTCCAGAAAATGCGCGCACCGAACTTAAAGCTTTAGTTTTGGACTTGTCTTTATTTCGACCTCGGTCTCTTGAAAATCGATTGAATTGTCTGGCCTGGGTGATTAACTTGAGCAGACAAAAACTTAAAAAAAAAAAAAGAAACGGTCGAGAATAATGAAATAAATCGTGTTGAAAAAGACCCAAGAAGGGCCGAGGAAACCCAAACCCAAGACAGACAGTCAACGAAATCGATTTGTTTTGAGATTAAGTCGGCTGCTGCCGCCCTCCTTATCCCTTCTCTGGCCTCCGTCTCGCTTTCATCCAAGGAGCAGACTTAACTGAAGCGTAAAACGGAAATGTTATGGACAGGGCCGAAAGGAAGCGTAATGGAAATCAAAGTCCTAACCGAATCAGGTGGAGCAGTTCGGGGGCAATTAGCGTGGGCAACTCGTTTCGATAAGAACGGATGGATCCGCAATCAAAGGCAGGCCCAAAAGCACTTAGATAATTGTCTTAAAGCTGGGCACACTTGGATAATTGCCTTAAAGCTGGGCACACTCCGGGGACAGCTGCCTGGCCTTGAATTGGTTTTAGAATCCACAGCCTCAGCCCCTCGCATAATCCTAACTTTAGGCCAGCCCAGCCATAACTCAAACACTTCAAGCCAATTAAAGGGTTTTCCATTCTCCCCCCCCCCCAAAGACATACAAAAGTGAAATTTTTCCCTATCTTCCTTTCACTTTCCGCACTTTCAACTCGACGCTGATTTATTTCGGGAGAACTTCTTGCAGTACTTGACAAAAGACAATTGCGGTTCAAGTACAAGAACAGCTGGCTGAAATTTATACACTTCCATAATTGAATTGTTTGATTGGGAAATTGTAAAAAAAAAAAGGAAAGAAAGTAAAATTAGGTGGACACAGCCCAAAAGTCAGGCCTCCGGTCGGGGGTTGCTACGCGTTGCATGGTCAGGCCATGGAAATGACTCAATTGGAACTGGGTTCGTGTCGGTCAGGTAAGGGAAACACATTTATTAGCTACAATGATAAATGTTCTCCCGGCATTGGCGACAGACCTTCGGATTCTAAGCAAAGGATCTCCGAAATCCCTCCTGAATACCTCTGACCGCCAGTCAATGTGTAATTTTAATTCGTTTTGGGTCGCATAGAGGAAATTGATATGGGTGCGTCGTAGTTTGGAAAAACTCAGCTCAGGTAGGAATTTCAGTCTCTCTTTTCTACAGTCTCTTGGTTTTATGTTCTTCTTTCTACTTTCAGTGCTCGCATATTGAGACATTATAGCTTGGGTATTGATATCACGACGGGGGATTGTCGGACTCGTAAGTGGAACAAATGTGGCAGACAGTTGGAATTATCCTTGGAAATAATGGTTGCAAAATCTTATTTCAAGGGTTTATGTCTCTAAGATAACTACCGGCTATCTGGTTCGTAAAACTAAAACGAGGTAATAATTACTTTTGGGAACTGAATCCAAATGTGTCTTCCTTAATTTAAGAATGGTATATTTTAACCCAATTTTAATTACCTTTTGTGGGAACTGATTTTAGGAAGTCACATTCTTACTATGTTGGCCTTTAAACTGTTATTTATCTCAAAAAATTTCTTCTGGGAAATATTTTAGATTACATTAAAGCCCACTTTCCCTAGTTTTTCATCTTTAATCTTTAGCAAATGCCTTCGAGCATTGCTCCGCACGCACAAATTACTCGAATCTGGGCTCGGCTAGCCCCCACTTTTCCCCATAAGCCCCTAAGTTGTGATTTACCCAAACCTACGGCAACTTTTGACTTAGTTTACATATCATTTATTATTTGCCAGGGCCAAGAGTCCTGAGGCCCGTTGTTTTGTACAAGGTGTGTGTGCTCCACTAACCAAACAAAACTTGCCACGCCCCCGAGGCGTTAAGCATAAGAAAAAAACCAAAGAAAAAACTTTTAAATAAAGCAAAGAACGCGCCAGAGGGAGAGGGCAAGATGACGGCATGTCACATCAATGTCACTCAGCATTAAGGCTCAAAGAGGCAGGAAGAGGGGGAAATTCATGTCCTGCGAGTGCTGCGATAAGTTTTTTTTTTTTTTGTTCTCCTCTTTGCCAGCTCCTCTTGGGCCGCCGGGCAGCTGAGCGTGAAAAACAGCCTCCCGAATTTCCCCGAGCTCCTGCAGCTTTTCCTTTTGCTTTCGCTTGTCCCACGCTTTCCTTTGCCCAGGCCGGCGATAAATTTACAAGCGTATAACAAATATTTTGCTTTGTGTTTACAATTTCTTACTGCTTAATATTCTTCGTCCAATTTTTTTCGCCATATAGACCTATTTGCATAAGATACTTTCTGTTGGAGGCTTGCGCGGAGTTTACCTTGTAAGTAGCTTAGGCGTATGCCATAAGTTGGTCGTTTCAATGAGGCGAGTTCTTTGATGGAGACCCAAGGCACAGAGGAAAATATTGATGTACTCAAAGATTAATTTTATTTGAAGGTGAAAAGTCTTCAAATGAACGTCCTGCCTATACTTAATCTGGGTTTTTCTTCAATACACTAGCTTCTTTACCTAATAAAATTATATACTGATAGATCATTTATTTTCTTTCTGTGCACAGACGACACTTATTCCTGAAATTTATGTTTCAACTATGGCTAAAACCGAGCTGGCTTATAAATTTCATGGGCACACGCTTGGCATACTAATTAGCCAAGGGATTTCATTCGAAAAAAGGCTAACAGCCAGCGGAAATCCTGTGGAAAAGGGCCGACATGTGTACAACTCAATTCCGAATTAAAATTCAATTTGCCAAACAGGTAAAAAGGTTCACACGACCAAACCGATTTCGATTCAAGAACCTCTGCTTCTGTGACCGCAACGAGTTCACTTGTCCGGGGACTTTTCGAGCTACCCACGCCACTCCAGATTGAGTTGTTATTATTATTTATATCCATGGCGGCCACGATTCCCGTTTAACAACTCATTTAAGACCCGATCTTATCGCGATTGCGATCTGCCACGAGATCTTCGACCAACTTCTTGGAGTCTCGGGGAGTCGGGGGCAACTCCGGCCGAAGCATAAATTTTATTTTGCGTGAATTTATGAGCTGCGCCGCGGACAGGCGGGGGATTCTCTTATTTACCAAAGGATTTACTCGAAAGGGAATCGGGGAAAAATAATGAACTTCGCTGCGGTGCACTTGTTGCTCGTCGTCGCCCGTTGCTAATAATTTAAACAAATTTACGAAATGAAAAAACACAACACAGCGCGGAAAAATGCAGGTAAACAAAGGTGTCGCCTCAACTAGTATTTGGTTATAATTAGGGGTCTCTCTGTTCTTCTCTCCGAACAATTCTTGGGGCTCTTTTTGTCGGTTTCTTCGCTTTGAAGCGGAGTAGAAGCCGCAGCCCCAGCGAAGCCCCGAAGCCCCTGGAGATGATTTGTTTACACACTCTCTTGGAGCTGCCCGGGTCGCCACGAGAGTTCCGAAGACAGATAATTTCCACAGGAATCACTCATCACTTGGGCGTAACTCTATCTGGATAAACAATGGATCTGCCCGATAGATAGAGAGATACATCGCACACTTTCTGGGAATTTTGTTTGGAATCAGATACAATCCTTCACTTGCTTATTTGAATAATTCTCCGGCGCGTCTGCCCAACTTCCCCCCATAAATCTTTGCTTTTTATTGCCCAACTTCCTCTGGAAGTTTTTCTTTTCGGTTGGTTTCAATTAGTCACCGCACTTTGAAGATTAGAAAACGCATTTTAAGGCATATATTTTTTAAAGTTTCATTGATAATTCCCCAATCAAAGGGAATTCCGTTGATCTCCGCTAAGCAGATTTTCACTCGCCTACGGAAGCTCAACTCAGCTCGAATCTCTGAGTAATCCGCTGCGTAAAACTTTTCAATTTCTTTGCGGCATAATCCACACTTGATTTTCGTTCTCAGCTTTTCCTTACCCGCTTTTCTTTTTTTATGCGTAGTCCAATGGAGGTTCGTGAATAAAATGTGATTTATTTCTGTCTGTTTTGCTAACTAATCGGGCCAATTATTTGCAAGAAATTATTGCTTATTAATTTCCTTTTTTGCTTGCTGATAACTTTTATTATTTTTTGTTGACACTGAACACTGAATTTATATGGTTTTGTTTTTCAAAACATTTGTGGGGGCTTTGCACGGCGCGCGAAGTGATTATGATTTTTGTTGTATTTTCGAATATAATTTGCTCATATATCTTGGCGATTCACATGCTCAGTCTTGAAAAAGTCTCGTATTCCGTTCAGAATTTTTTGTTCGATTCCACAGACAAACACGCGAGACGCTCACGTCCGATATCGGCGACTGCGAGTCAGAAACTGAATTTCAAAACGTTTCGAGCTGTAGTTGACGGCGGAAACAGGCACTATCTGTATCTGCAGCAGCAACTTCGGCTGCCGGTTCCCGAAGATACACGAGAGAGCGTTCGGCACTGTTTCCGGAGAAAAAGAACTCCCACCCGGGGTTTTCCGAGAGAGTATTCAAACGCACGAGAGCGAATAAATGGAATGAACTTGTTCTGGCACGTCCTCTAATCGGTATTCTAGCCGTTGCAGTCGCTAATAATTCTTTGGCACTGGAGTTTGTTGATGTCGCTGCTAAATTTACCTAAAAAAAAGCATTCAAAAATATAATAAAATTATAGCTGACTAAAATTTTACCCGAATTTTTAAGTATTTTATGTATGTTGCTAGGCAATATAATTCTTTGGCTCAAAGAATGTTCAATTATTGTCAACATAGCAGTTAATTGCTGTCGTTGAACTCATGTTTATGCGAAATTATTCATGTCTACACATTCTTAACATATAGAGTTTTGTGCTCTCAATTTTCTCCAGTTTACGACAATTTATTTTTAAATTTTTTATGGGGTTTTGTTGTGATATAAAATACTTGTTTATTTATTTAAAAGTAATCGATCATTTTGTTGGAAGTTTTTGAGAGATCAAAGGCACTTGGATTTAGCCGAATACAATTTTTTTGTGCGCTCGCAATCCTTTTTTTTCCTAACTCACAAAGATTCTGATAGCCTACTTTTGACACAAGTAAAAATTAAATATAATACAGGAATTATTTTTGAAGTTCAATAAGTAGGAAAAGAATATTTTCTTAAGATTATGGGGAATGCCCAAATTTCTTTTTAAGATGATATAATCTTAATTAGGAGTATTTTGGTTAAGCCCGTCTTGTTTTTTTACCAGCTGGCTATATAAAATTTGGGCTTTTAATCGTGCAATACAATAAATATTATAATAAAACATAAATATATTTTTCATATGTATACACATTTGTTATTTATTTCTTTTGCATTTTTGTCGGAAAAGAGTCATTCACCTACACATAAAAATTAAAACTGCAGATGCAGTATAATTGCTAAAAACGATGACTAATTAATTGCCTTACAAAACAGATATCGCAAGTGTCTTTCCCGGAAAAGAACAGACTAATTTAATTTTTATTAAGAGATATCATATTACCTTCACCGGCATATTAAATGCAACAGCCTAATATTAAGCATACTAAGGTAAACAATAGATGTACCTAGAAGATATTGGTATTGCTATCTAACAGATGCAAAAAAAGAACAACTTTTTTGCCATTCAATCAACCAAAAACCAAGAACAACAACAACTAGCGCAAGCCGCAATATGATCAAGGTCAATGTCTGGCGGGCGGGGGTGGGCAAAAAAAGCGGGGGTCGGCAGGCGGTGCTTTTCAGTATTTTCCTTCTTTTGCTGCTGTTTTTCCTGCTGCATGTAAAGTTACAGCAACAACAACAGCAGCCGGCATGAAAATTCAATGTTATTTTTCATATCACACAGACACACACAATAAAAACACTGCTCTCACTTCGAAATTCGAATTTCGAAAATGAACACTGGCTCTCTCTCCCGCAAGTACACTCTCTTTGTGTGTAATTGCTCTCTCTGGCTCTCTTGTTGTTTGTTGATGTTGCAGGGGCACTTGGCAACATGTTGCTAGCTCTTTATTTAAATGTTGCTGGCTTTGTGTGTGTTCATTTTTTTTTTACATTTATCTGTTGGGATGCAATTTTTGTTTACGAATTTTTTTCGCACCTCTGCTTACTGTTTACGCTGTACTTTCACCTTCTGCGCTACTTTGGCCCCAGCCCCGCCCACCGCCCACTGCATTCCTTGTATGTTTTGTTTATAAACATTCTTGCCTGTTTGTTTTCAATGCAATTCCATTGTGCCAGTTGTTGAAAACGGAGATGCTGAAAGAAAGATGGGAAGAAAGAACAAAAAGGATGGGGGGAGGAGAGCAGCTGGGGGTGGTGCAAAAGGGGGCACATCTCTCTGCTTGTCTACACTGAAAATATTGACAATAATTTAGTTAAACATTGTTTAAGAAAACTTAATTTAAAGTGTTTTTTGGTATTTATAATTTATTTTTAATCGAAGTCCCATAAAAAACGTATATGCAATATAAATTATGCTTTAAATGCATATTTTACCCACACAATTTATGGTTAAAATAGATATTTCCTCTGATTTAATTGATTTTGCTTATTTACCAAAATAATTCAAAACCAATTCCATTTTTTATTATCTATTGCCGTTTCATAAATTATTTATTTAATCATACTTATTCTTAATATAATTTGTTTATTAATTATTAACAGTGCACCCGCAAGTTGTACACAAAAAAGGAGGGAAATTCTTTATAAATTGTTAGTTGTCGACGGCAGCCGCAGCGAGTGTTTGTAGCCGCAACTTAGTCAAAGTCGCTAACGGTAATATCTGCCACAGTACCTCTCTCCGTCTCCAGTCTTGTGGTGGAGAAGCCCCCCCGCCCTTCCACAACTCATTAGGCGCGTCAAGTGATATGTTTGCCTTTTTGTGCCGGGGACCAAACCGAAACACATTAGCGGCTCATTGGGGCCAAAAGCGGCCAAAGGCAACGCAAATTAAAGGAGCATTAAGTGATTGGCCGATGGGAGGGAAAATTGGACGAGGGGGTGGAGGGGACTCTAGGAAAAATGACGACCACACGCACATTCTGCAAAACTCGAAGAAGTTTCCTCAGTCAGAAGCCACAAAAAGTATCTTATGGCCGCTCAACATTCTTGAGAAATTGCCAAGACCGAAGATACAAAAGTGGAGCAGCTTAAAAGTATCTTTCTATCTCACAGATACAAAATTCATAAAGCAAAACAAACATTTTGCCAAAAGATTCCCAAAATCTCATAAGCTAAGATTTATCATTCGGATGAAAGTGCGAGTGCTGAAAAGCATTTCGTGAGTACAATGGTAACCAAAAGTATCCTTTATGCCTGAAAACTTAAGAAATGCGTAACAAGCTGAAAAGGATTACTATTTTTTTGCTTTAAAAATATTTTAAGAGCATAATCGCAGGATTAAATTTATTTCAGAGACGAAATTTCATCTATAGATACTTCCTAAAACATTTTATTTTATAAAAAATTCAACTCGTTAATACCATATGCAATATATATATTTTGCGAGCGTAAACAAATCTCTTGTGGCTTACCAATTAGTCAACCTGCTTGCCTTTTGCCAAAAATTCGAAACTCAAAATGCTCTTTTATGGCCGCTCCCCGAAAACCATGTAGAGAAGCAAGGGACAGCTGACGCAGCTCGTGTTTGCAGATACAATAATTAATAATTCGGGGATAATCTGCATGTTTGTCAAAGTGATACGGCCTAAAAATGGAAAAAGAAACACAACACAAAACACATATATGTACACGCACACGTGTGTATAGATGAAAAACTGTGCTGAAAAAATGAAGTAAGCGAAAACCATCTGCATAAATATTCGCAGACTGGACTTGGGTTCATTTTTCGGGCACAGAACCTGAGGTCCGGCTGATGGTTCTATTGAATTGAGCTGAAAATGAGGATCCAGCATCCCCTTCATAATTAAAATTTTGTTTCTTATTTTACAGCTGTTGTGCGAGGGCAATGCAGGAATTTATTTGACATTTATGGCAACCTCTTCATTAGGCCTAAACAAAATATTTATATTTTGCGTTAAATCTTGTTATTATTATTTTAAATTGCTAAGAATTGTGAGGAACATTATCCATAGTCATAACAGTATCTTCACTGCCAAAGTGAAGTTCGTCATCAAAATTGTCACCTTAAGATTACAACTCCAGCATATCAGCAACTAAAGCAAACGAAAGCCTCTCAATCTTATCGTTAACTTTTTGACCTTGACGAAGTGTTTTCCCTATCTATATAGTTCAAGGTTCTGCATGTTCTACATGTTTAAGCCATATATGAAAATGAAACTCTGAAATAATAACTCCAATGATTTCGCACAATTCCCCGTGGGAGATAACAAAGCCCCTGTGCCAATTTCAAGTGCAATTATAATTTTTGTTTGTCATGCAAAAACATCAACAGGCAAAAACAATCGACAATGGGAAACGGCAGGCTCCTGCGACAAGGAAAAAAAAAAAATGCGGAAAATGGGGAAAATACGCAAACAAAACGAGGCACGAATTGGGGGTGGCAGTGGGGGCCTTTCCGGGGGCGGAGGCCACACGCCCACAATCAAACTGGGTCACATGGCCAGCCAGTGCAATTTGCATATGCATGAGTGGCAGGAAGATACAAAGAGTGGGAGGATATACGCGGCACGACGGGGCAGGATGTGGGGGCAGGTTGCCTACTGGAGGTGTGCAAGTGTGTCCTGCACGTCCTTCGGCACATGACTTTACAGTTTTTCGACCTCTTCTAATAAATTTCCGCCCAAGTGGAATATGCAAAGTCACCAAAAAGCGAAAAACACACGCAGCATAAGCACACTGGCAGAAAAAAGGATACATTTACATTGTAAACAAGTTTATTTATTACAGAAAAAGGGTTTTCATATATTTTCGATTGAATTTTATACATTTATTTTTGATAGGTTGCCTTGGGTTCATTGTTAATTTTAGCCTCCATTTGTATATTCCTTGATTTTAAAACCTAAATATACTAAATTATACTAAAACTTTGATGTAATTATTTAAAAATATATTTTTTTTTACATAAACTTATTGAATTTCATGGGAAATACGCAGTTTTAGTCATATTTTCTCTCTGCATTTCCTTAGGTATAGACGCACACACTTACCTATATTATATAGTTGTGTGTTCCCTATATATTGCAGATATATGTGGCTCATAAATCAGCGCCCAACTGTGTCACCTTTGTGGGGCAGTCGAGGGGATTCTTCGACCAGGCCAGAAATCTCTCTCCAACTGTGTCCAGTTTTCAGCATATTTGCCAATGGTTTTTCTTTGGCGCTGCCTTTCTTGTGCCAACTCTGCATTTGCATGCATATCCTTGATAAGGTTGTGTT